ATTCCTATCATGAACCACGCAGAGGCTGTTAATCTTCTTAAAAGCTTTAACAACTTATTGAGTTCCCTCCTCAAATAAATACCTATCATACAGGAGGAAATATATAAAGCAGTATGCAGGAATCACAAGGTATTTGAAGACATTTAACAACTGAGGTATAGATAGGGAAAAGAATATGCTGTAAGTGGGCATGTATTCGACAATATACTAATTGTACATGAAATGTGCAAAACACAAACAAGCAAAACAGATTCACAGCATGCCAGCAAACCAGTCAAGTGATGCTTAGTCAATGCTATTTTATCATTTATTTTATATAGCTAAAAAGAGAAGCACTGAGGAAGGAAAGGGCTGTTATCAACATCATTTACTGTGTTCACTGCAATACATAGAGTGGAATGACAGAACACTATTTTGTATAGGAAAATGTCACTGTTACTTTGGATAAGAGATTTTAAGAAACAGTCAGTTTAGGATAAAGCCTAGTATAGTAGACTACCGTTTTAAATGGAGTAGTACAATTAGTGCCAAAAGAAAGTTTAAGAGTCCACGTTCTCGTTTTCATATTTAAAGTAAAATACAACTGTCCAATATTCGCTTAGACTGGAACTTGTGGGCCCGAGACTTTCAAACATGCCTTTAAGTGATTTTAACCGGTAAGCTAGCTAGTAAGTGTTGCAGTGGGATGTTTAGAGCAGAAATACACCTTATGCTACCTGGGCAGAGACATTGTTCAGTACATTAAAATGTTAACTACACAGTTGTGTTGCATTTAATGTAGAAAGCTACGGTACAATACAGTAATAATAAAGCATTTACCCCCAACAATATCACTCTTGTTTTGTCCTACCGGAGCTGGCCCGCCACTGCAATTAGTTTAATTTGTTGCAGCTGCGAGTAGCTCCTCGAGTTGCAATGCATTGTGGGACATCAACAACACCGTCAAAACATTGCATTCATTTTTTTATTTTGACATTGAATTATACTTTAATAATTCACTTTTTTAATGTTGTGTCAGGACATTGTTGCTGACATGAAACATAGCTGCTCCGTGGATAGTCAAAGACGTTCACTACTTTATAATGTGATTTAGTAAAGTTTAGATGGTGTCTTTACTGACTAATTGTATTATCTAAAGACAGGACTGGACAGCCTTGAAGCAAGCTCATGACTTGTTAGTCTAACCAATTTAACAGTCCTGGGTCGCCATCCAGTGGCAAAATGTCGGAGGTGCTACAGGAACAGCCAAAAAAAAAGAGGGGTGGGGACAAATACAAATTCTAGGGAAGAAAATTCAAACACTCTTCCTGGAAATAGAAGAGAACCCGCCACAACTTCACCACATGACATTTCAGAAAGAAAATGCGACACGACCCTTCTTGCAACGCACGCGATAGTGCATTTCATTGAATAAGCCGCTGTTCTATTCCTCCTCCAACCAGCACGTTATCAGGCCACGCACTGTATATCACACCCACGGACACGATCCATTGCCTTTTTGTGCATTTAGAAATGTGTAAGGCGAGGCGATTGCGACATCACCAACTCCAGACCTACCTTGTTCCCGTAAACTATTCCCTCTTTACCGTAAAAACGTGACATCACCATACATACAGTTATATATATATATATAACATTTGGGAAAGCAGACTAAACAGCTGTCTGCAACACAGATAGGAAACTTACCGCCTATTCGTGCAAAGTTAGAGTAGTATACAAATCACACAGTTTTTGGAATTATGTAATAGTCTACCATCAAACCATCCTCTTAAAAATCACAGTATTTTGGCCTTCTGTTTTCATGACTGCTGTTACTGCTCTTAGTTTACCCGATAATGGCCTATAAGTGTCTCCTACAGTAATGCAAACTCTATTTTTGCTGTTATGTTGATCGCCTCGTTTAAGTCATATTACAGGAGGAGGATAGTTCAGGTTGTTTTCAATGGAGTATCATTCGTTGCAATTAGACAACACATTCTCTGCAGCCTCACATGCCAGCATACGCCGGATAACAATATGCGTTATGCTTACCTTGTATGTGTAATCCAAAATCTGCTGGGGAGGTACCGCGCTGACTGTAGTGTAATAATGGAAAATCTGAAAATATCCATCTCCTTTCCCAGCCACGGATGACGCAGCCCCCTAAAAAGCCCTCTCCCAAAAAACATTAAATCCCCATTCAGCATCCATAACGCGTGTAGGTGCAAACGTCGACACGGGGAGCACTGTACACGCAAATAGATCACAGCCCCGGCTGAGGAAATGTTCAAGTGTTCGCCCATGGGCAAGGCATGACTGATGGACTCATCACTGATCTTGCATCTCTGCACAGTCATATCGCCTTTCTGAAAGATTGCACAGCTCGTTTCCTCCTCTGAAGACCATCTGGTAAAGAATAAATCGCCAGCTCCTGTAACCTCCAAAGCAGCAATGGGCACGGATCCCTAATCATCCAAAAACACAACTGATATCCGTTTCCGAGACAGGAATGGTCCACGGCGATTAGGGCAGGCAGTCCTGAAAGAAATTGCGCAGTTTATATTCCTCTGAAACGGAGACTCTTTCCCTTCTGTCCCCGTTGAAAGGCTCTTTCCTTTCCTCCTCCTCCCTCCTCTCTTTTTCTCTCTCTTCCCTCATGCAGGTTTATTTTCGGTGGAAGAGTCTTGGACATTGCCTGCCCCGCCTCCATAGTCACTGGCAAACACACTGTACAACTTGCCCAAATTCCATTATTAACAACAATTCAATGGAGAACAACAAGTCCCCAGTGTGTCCCTTTATAAGTGTTTAGTTCAAGAGTCAAACTCCCTGTTGGAGGTAAAGGGGCCAAGAGCCACTTGGGGAATCAAAAGTGTTTCTTTGGAGATGTCTGGTAATCTTGTCAGGTTCCGGTCAATTCCCAAGAAAATGAAAACTAGGCCATGAGCATGTTGGGAAATCAAATTAAAGCCCAAGCCATTTAGCTCCCACACAGATGGCTCCTCAGGGTGCCTGATGCGTTATAAAGGGGTCCCCAATAAACTGCAGATTGATTTAATTTAACTGGTAATGCATTCAAAAGCATTCACTGTAATCTGATTAGACATTTCCCATGCTTTTTCTCTAATGTGACAAAACAAGTTCAAACATGTCTAGAGATCCGTTTTCCAGGGTTCTTGTTATTACATGGGAAATGTTGGATTCCCTCATCAAAGATATTCAACAAATGTCTACACTTTCTCAACATTTTAGAAGCTGCTGTTTTACAGTTTCTGAGTGGATAAGCAGATGGAAGAAGTTGACTTCCAATGCCTTTAAGAAAAACATTACAGGAAACAAAAATATTTGCTCCAAAATAACACATCATCTGAACACAGAGATGTTAGAAAAAGGAAAAACAATGCACAATGTTTCACTTTTAAAACTTTGGATAGTGTATTCCTCTAATCCAATTAAATTGTCAGACAGGAAGGTTAATAACCAGCGCATAACAATATATATATCTAGATTGTTTCCACATCATATTTACATTCAAGTTAATTTCAGCTGCTTTAATCAGCTTTCATCCATAAAACACACCTCCGAAGTCTGATATCTTTGTAACCAGCATGCTTGAGAATTAGCCAATTGAAATTTTTATTCAACATGTTGCTATGAGACCCCCCTCCAGCTCCCACCCAACGAGAGACCACCAGTGTACACACAGAGACTTGGGTCTGATAAAGAGGCTCTTAAACCCAGAGGAAGTTCGTGTTTGGTCTTTCATGGGGACAATCCTTACGTCTGAATACAACCTTGAGCTCAGCCCCCCCCCCCCTCCTCTCTGGTCCCCCTCTCTCATTACTGGACCATTCTTCCCCCCGGCTCACTTTCTCCAGGGTCCTTCTCTCGTTTTTCTCCCCCTCCCTTTCAGGAGTTTGGGCTGAGTCCTTTTCCAGTGGGGAAGTCCGGGCCTTCTCTCTCACAACGCTGAGCGACTCCAAACGTCTTGTAGGAGGCTTCATTAGAATTCATTTGTTTGAAAAGGTTCATTTCTCCTCCATTCACTCCTTCCCTCTGTCTTGTTTTCAGGTTGGGGGGGGGGGGGAGGCATGTTAGCATAAAAACATTCTTGACCTCACCTTGATTAACTGCATTGTTTGCGTGTTGTTACTGTGTGACAAATCTAATATTCACAAAAGGACATTCTTTTTTGATTTATTAATGTACCATTAAAATACTTTTGTTCGTAAAAGATTCCAACTGATTTGTGTTTCCAGGTCTGTCTGGTGAGTTAGCAAGAACAGGATACAGTATATTATGGGCTTCATGAAAACATTGGGAATTTCCAATGATGTAATTCAACTCATATTTTGAACATATTATCTACAGCCCAAGAATGTCATCAAGCATTGAACAACAGCTAATCAGATTACCAGAGAATTTAATGAGAACAGCAGACAGTTAGATGACCAGACAGACACTTGATCCAGATGTTGCAATAAGCAAGTTTCCAGTGAAACACTTCGCTTACCAGAAGGAGACTATTCCCTGTGTATGTGTATGTGTATATGTGTGTGTACGTGTGTGTGTATATGTGTGTGTCGGTTGTCGATGTTTGAGCAGGGTAAAAAGGGGGTCAGTGTGGAAAGACTGATGCCGGTCTGTACAGAGGCTGACAGACGAGACTAAAAAGGAAGTGAAGATACAAAGAAGCCTTACCAGAATTGAGTCAGACCAACTTCAAAGTATCAAAGAATGACTCAGTCCATTTATTGTCAGAGCCCAGGTGTGGTGACCTGTTTCATAGAATGCAAAACATTTGAGAAGTAACACAGTGTTTTAATTTAAAATACATTTTGCAGTGTATTGAAGCCTTGAGTCCATTTAAATCCAGTAACTAACAGCTAAAACAATAAATAATATTCCTCAGTAAAAAATAGTCAGTGGTTGTGTGTGTGTGTGTGTGTGTGTGTGTGTGTGTGTGTGTGTGTGTGTGTGTGTGTGTGTGTGTGTGTGTGTGTGTGTGTGTGTTAAGGCGTTTAGTTGTCCAGGCTCAAGAGTAGAGCGGTCCCTCTCTTGATCCAATGGTCTGGGGTCACAGCTCCAGATTTGAGTTCTATACCGACCACAAAAGAAGGCCGGCCTGATCCCCCCGAACGCACCGGGAAGTAGTAACACGGACACAGGTACACACCTGCACACACAAGAGAAACAGACAGAGTTGAGACACCCAAACCACAGTGCATGACATCACAGACTATATAAAAACAGATGGAGAAAATCAGAACTGATGATGAATAGTGCAGAAATCCTACTACTCACCCTTGGCCGCCTTCTTGCGGTTCTCCACAGGCTTGAAGTGGATAGTTGGGATGGGGCAGACCATCTGCATGGACTCAGCCTCCACCAGACAGGAGTTCCTCTTGTCCCAACCAGCCCCCTCCAAGAACAAACCTCGGATAAATACTCCATCCTGTAGGGGGAGGCAGGGAGTGAGTAGGGAAACAAGGGAGAAAAGGGAGGGGGGAATCATGAAGTATAAGGTGAGATATTAACACTTGGTTGGAGGTCACATTTCGTAAACAATGTTTATGACACACAGCCATGCCAATTAGTTAATGTAAAGTGGGAGGGGTGAAAACAAAGGAAAGATAAAGGCTACATGGGAGAGGAAGGAAAGAGGAGAGAGGGAAGAGGCAACGAGGAGGAGAGGAGAAGAGCAGGGAGGAAAGGGAAGAGAAAAAAATGAGATTGGTAAAAAAAAGAAGGAGGGGAAGAGAAGAAGAAACAAGGAAAGATAAGTTCTGACATAAGTCAAGAGTCAGAGAGCTTAAAAGAAGCAAGAAGGAAGCAGCACAAAAGACAGGAAGAATGAAACAAGATGAAGTGAGTGAGAAAAAAAGGGCTACAATGACAGACATTCTGAGGGGGGAGCAACAAGACCAATTAAACATCGTCTCACATAGTCACATTTGAATTGTAACAGTGCTTTGTAAGAGAATCCAAATGCAAGAGCAGATTTGAGGATAAGCTTTGAATGATAATGCGCTTTTCAGGAAAAAACACACAGAGTCAATGTTTGAGTGGAAATGAAAAATGTGATGAAAAGTGCCGATGACAGCTGAAAGCTAATGACTCAGAAAAAAAGTGGTCTGATGGTAAGTGTATGGAAATCTTTATGGAAATAGAAGTGTGTGTGGAGGGAGTCACCTTGGGCGGGTAGAGGAGGCTGCTGTTGTCCACAGTGGACACGATGAACTCCCAAGACAGCGTGTCCACTGATATCTGAAACACCAGAGGGACAAGAGTTTATTAACAAGGCAAGAAGGACATTTCCATTCATTGCAAGCAGAGACATATTTATTTATGTTTCAACTAAACAGTAAGTGTTAATGCGTGCATGTTAAATATATATTGCTTGAGGCAGCTAATGTGCAGTTAAGTGCAGTGGTTGTTGGCTGTGAGATGCTGAGAGGCTGAGATTAATGTATGGACTCAACAGAGCGAGAGAAAGGGGAACTCAGCAGGTTCTTTATGCCAAACCAGGCATCTCACAGGGGGAGAGTGCAATGTGTTTCCCAGGCTTTTTTTCTGTGTATTATGTGTGCTAGGAACATTAAGCAGAACTTAAACTGTATATAAACATCTTGTAGTTTTGATAATTGTTTCACAGTTTAAGCTTCTGTACACATATGTTGTTCACATATTTCCTAATGTATTGAGACTGTCTTCCTGCCTATGTGGATGCGGGTGTGTGAACTCTCACGTTGTGCTGTCGAGCAGAGGACTGCAGCACAGCGGTGAGGAAACCGTTGGGAAAGGTGAAGGCGGAGAGCCAGAACAGGGTGGGGGGCTGGGCCGTCAGTGCCCACTGTGCAAACTGATTGACTCGCTGGCAAAGATCCCGGGTCCACGCTGCCAGGGGCTTCAGTGAGGGGTACGCCTGGTGGACAGAGAGAGAGAGAGAGAGAGAGAGAGAGAGGGAGAGAAAGAGAGAGACGTGAACATCTACAGTCATTTCACACTGCAGCTGTTGGCAGCCAATTATAATACACGGGAGGTGTTGTATCACATTTTCTCAGGTGAGGTGTGCACGCAGTTAGTTTCAGACTTTTACTTCCTTTGGTTGCTAACATATTTACATTATATAACGAGAACCACAAAATATTAAGAAAATATTCTACAATATGACAATCATGATGTAGCCTACATGAAAGTAAAATAATAATTGTCATAGCTGTTTAATAACTCAATTACATTATTTTGTAAAAACATGTCAACGAAATGCATTTAATTAATAAATAATAAATAATTACATTACTCAGCTGCTTGCGTGTAGCTGAAGAAGATTGTGTAACTTTAGGAAGGTTGCCATATCTTCTTTTTCCAGGTTTCTCTGTGTCCTTTAATTTATTTTGTTGACTACTATACTAAACAAACTAACACTTTGTTGCATGTTCACACAACGATTCACACACACATTCTATAGACACACACCACGTGGACTAGGGGGATGAAAGAATTTGTGCATGTTTGAAACCTAGGGAGGGAGCAACCATACCATCAGTGATGATATTACCGCCATATATTTGCAATATGTTCATGCACATCTCTTCCATATTCTTTACATGCACATATGCTATACAGCCCCAACAGTTACAAAGAAACCCCCCCCCCCCACACACACATACAGCAGAGCCTTGTGAAGAAACCAGATACAAAATGGCCGGAGACCGAGAGGCAGGCAGGCCAAAATTAAAGCCATGAGTCTGTGAGCTCAGAACTAATGACAGACTGCCATGCCAAGGAGGGGAGGAGAAGAGAGGGATGGAGGGATGAATAACGAGGGCTGCTGTTGCTGCTTGGACCACATGAGGCAGATTGAGAGAGATGAGAGCTGAACGGAGGGCACGCAGCATGAAGTAGAAAAAAAAGGAATGAGATAGAGACAGAGACGAAGTAGACAGTGATTAAACCAAAGTACGCAAAAAATAAATTGAACAAGTGGCCTGCTTACAAGTGGTCAGTGGCATATTTAAAGAGCAGCTCAGCTGGAGGACACACACACACACACACACACACACACACACACACCACACACACACACACACACACACACACACACACACACACACACACACACACACACACACACACACACACACACACACACACACACACACACACACACACACACACACCTACACACACACACACACACACACACACACACACACACACACACACACACACACACTGTACATCCAGCAGTAATAAGCCACTGGCTGTAGCACAATGAGCTCAGGGTCTCTTTAGGGAAGTGGAGCAGGCCTTGGTATGTTTTCTTTGCTTATTACACTACGATTAGTTCACAGACAGTGGCTTTGTTCTGCCACTGAGGGCCAGGGTAAGCTCCACCTGATGCACACACACACACACACACACACACACACACACACACACACACACACACACACACACACACACACACACACACACACACACACACACACACACACACACACACACACACACACACACACACACACACACACGCACGCTTTAAAGCATTGCCTATAATGAGGACAGAATCTTGAGGAAACTCGAAGAAAAGCACAAACTGCCCTGAATGACCCCTGCTTGGTGGACACACACACACATGCACCCCCACACACACACACACACACATTGTGATGGGGCTCTGGCAGCATTCCAGCTGTGATTCTGTCCGAACACTTCATTATCACTGGAGCTCTCTCTGCAGTGACGAGAGAACACAGGGTGCTGTCAGCCTGGGTCAAGGGGCTGGAAAAGATTCAGGCTACACATAAGTGTGAGTGTGTGTTTGTGTGTGTGTGCTCTTAGACAGAGGAGAATAATACGTGTGTGTCTGTGCTGCCAGGCAGAGTGATGGCTAATTACACCTTTAATAACAGACCAGTACAGACAGGTTTCCAGCTGTTAGACTGTAAGGGAGCATGGTAGATTAGTGCTGCTCACAATCACAAAGATCAATATACATTAAGTCCTGCGTGAGAATTTGAATGGTCTCTGTTCAATGGCAGTGCACCATATAAATATGTTTTCATTATCCAGCCTAACCGATGCATGCTCCACATGTTTTATTGTTACCTTGTATGTTTCAATGATTTGCTTTATTTTCACAGCCCTCTTTTCTGAGTTTGAATCCGTCCCTGAGCAGTACTTTTTGTGTTGTGTTACTCAAGTCTACTCTATTCTCCAGAGAGACATTCATATTATTGATCCTAGCAGCACTTCTTCATTGTAGTCTGTCTGCCCACTTTATGTCGTGAGATAAAAGGAAGGCAGCAGGTGCAGCTTCGTGTCTCATTTCAGAAGGAATAAGCACCATCCATACATCCAAATTACGCCTCAAGCAACACAACAAGGAGGAATGCAGAGAATAAATAAAGGAAGTACAGCATACCTGTGTTAAACTATTCTCTGTAAACTCAAAATAACTTGCTTTGGAGGAGGACTTAAGAAGATTGTGTTGGTTAGTGCGTACGGTACCTTTTCCCACAGCGGTGGTACACGAGCGTCATATATGTAGTTGAAGGTCTCCTCCAAGCTGGGTGACATCACCACTAAGCCTTTTATCCCTTTGTCCAGCTCCGCCAGGGATGCACTAACACACACACACACACACACACACACACACACACACACACACACACACACACACACACACACACACACACACACACACACACACACACACACACACACACACACACACACACACACACACACACACACACACACACACACACACACATACACAGTTATAGAACAAATCTGTCACTTCAACACCCTTTTATTGTCGTCACTGCTTTCTAGTCTAGATCTATTGCAATTACCGTGCACTCACAGGCTGGGTGATTGGGCCATTGTTTGCTGATTTGCATCTTTATTGATAGGTGTAGCAGAATTCCCGTGAAAATAACTGGTTTTGATTTGCTTTGCAATCAGATACTTTGTTTCGCCATCAAAATGTGACACTTTGTTAGATATGAACTTCCTAGATGTACTATGATTTACTTTATTCATACTGTATCTATTGATGGTTGCCTACTTGGTCCCATGCTGGTCTGTGTTGTAACATAGACTACTTGAGTGTATTAGTTTGGGCAAGCAAACTGTGCATAGACAGAATAAAAGGAGGAGGGATAGTGACTGACAATTGTCTTTCTGATTAAAAATGAATTGAAGAATTTATAGAGGATAAAAAAGTCATCTTTTTATTTAAGCCTATTATTTGGTAAATGTTCTGTGTGTAAGGCAGTTATATTTTATCATTACGTGCTGGAAACATTTTTTTTTGATAAGTATATGCCAAGCAGACAGTATTTTCTTACATTATATTGCGCTTTTTCGCTATGTTACTCAATACTTTTTGCCAAATAAATGACTAAGTGTAATGCCTTAATATTTACATTCACATAATTCCAATCTGAAGTTAAGTTACCCAATGTCACTACTAATACACTGGCTATCTCTAGCATCTCTATTTAAACAGGCGCATGATTTGCTGCTCTTAGAGTACCACTATAACATGAGATGTGGAGTTCATACATGATGGTCTCCAGCAGGAAGTTGTATCTCTGGATCTCTTGCAGCAGCACCACATTAAGAGGGGTGGGGTTGTCCTGGAGGAGCGACCTTGTGCCCTCGTAGTCGATCATTGCTGGGATCTTCCCACGAACATCTGCCAACAACTCTAATACCTGCAATGACGTTCCAAAGAGCACACAATCAGATGAGACATGAGGCTCTGACCAAGCATTTGCAGCTGGGTAGAATTAGAGGACTTACAATGGTTCAAACTAAGTCTCTTGATAAACACACTCATACACCAACAACAGTCACGCTGTAAGCCATGCCACAACGAGCACAATAAAGGAGCGGGATGATGAGATTGCATAGCTGAAAGCGTCATCAGTTTTTGTTTGAACCTAGATCGAGCCTGAGATTGTTGTGCATATAAATAAATGGTTGGTCTCATCTCATGCCAGTCTATGACCTACTCCCCCCTCACCTTATCTTCTCTACTGGGCCCAGCAGCAGAGGAGCTGGTGACCTGGGGCTGCAGGGAGAGCAGGGTGTCAAACAGCGTCCTGGTCTCAGCGATCTGACTGGCAATGTCAGCATTAGAGTGCTGGCCGAACACCTCAGGGTGCTCTGTGGGCGGCAGCATGCTGATGTATTCCTTGTATGAGGCCTGGACACCGTCACGGGGGATGTAGTAGGAGGTTAAGGAGGAAAACCTGAGAGAAAGGGGTTTGCAGAATACAAAGTCAGGGATCCTGTATGTATTGGTTTAAAGAAGTATTGGTTTACAATTCCCAGTTTCCCCATAGAGATTAATGTCATCTTATTGAATGTACTTCAATGGAAAAATGCAAGTATAGCATCAAAAAACGAAATAAAACACTAAATAAAAAACAAATACTTCCCCTTTATATTTGTGATTGGTTGGTTATAAATCAAGGGAGTGGAAAGAGAATGTGTACATGTAAGTAATAAAGGAAACAATTGCCCTGGAATAATGGTACTTTAACGTGTTGAAGTGGAACAATGTGTCAGCATGTTTTAAGTTGTGATATTCTGATTGTGCACTTGGTGGTGCTGGCACTCTGCGAGCTGCCTGGAGCTGCATGGAGCTGCAGCAGGCAGTTTAAAGTGGCCTCTGTCACATTGACACGGCCACACTTGCTTTTAACGTTGAAAATATATGTTGAGGACGGTATGCATTCAAAGATTAAAATATGTCTAAATATCTGTGTAATGTGTGTGTTTCAACGTCTTACTTGAAGAAGGGCTGGCTTACGGCAGCATCACAGAAGTAGTCATTGATGTAGGTGGTTAGAAGACGTCTGTCCCAGTCATCCGTCACATGACCTCCATAGTTGACCCCAGCAATGAGGTACTTCAGAGCATCCCAGGGAATCTCCTCATACTCCTCCAGGTAGAGACTAAGCAGATTCTCACTCACCTAGAGGAAGATCTTAACAGGTTAACTCTGAAATGCAAAATACAGAACATAAGTAAAGCAAATCAAAAATCCTTGCTGCATGAATTATAAATAAACAGGGTAATAAATGAATTTGAAACAGATTGTTATGATCAATTACTCTGACAGGGTATACAATGGCTTTTATGACTAAAGCTGTCAGTATCAGAAGAGGCTCTGACCTCAAAGTCAGAATCGTTGAATCCATAGATAATGTTCCAGCCAAGCTGGAGGAACTTCTTCCTTTCCAGCAGGATGCTGTGAAAAAAGCAGAGGGAGAAGAGAATCTTCCTGTAGAAAACTGGTTTGGAGCAGCGGTTGAATTGAGCCTCCGTCACCAGCTGGTACAGACGCTTCATGTTGGCTTTCACACCCTGAGGACAGAAGAGGGCAGTGTTAACACTATGGAAGGTTACATGTAGGATGTTACGATTACTGTTAACATGTGTAGGACAATAACACTCAAATATCTCATGTCTGTATGTGTGAGCGCCTGCACCTTTGGTGGTTCAGTGGTCATCTTGATGCCAGCCTGCAGGATGCTAATGGGAAATTCGGGGTGTGGTGAGGAGCTGAGCCAGAGTCTGAAGTTTGGGTGGGGCTTCTGTAGCGATTCCACCAGCTTATCCAACTCAGGCATCCACGAGAGGGAGAGGTGGCAGTTGGCAAGGAACACCCAGTGACCTGAGCAGAGAAAAACAGGGTGTGAGGTAAACAGGCTGCGGATCACATTACAGAGAATCACACAATCATCTTAGGGAATACTTACTCAGAATACATTTCCTTAAATCTAAATTCCTGAAGCCTCATTGAGAAAGGGATTTCTTCCATTTAAATGTTCAAAATTATAATTATGTCTGGCTTAAGCCATTTATTTGTAATCGTGAATATAGCACCTATACTAAGTATTCCAAATAAGTGGTTATTTAAATATGTGTGGATATTGGATGTAGAAGTCAAGGAAGGAATTTGTCCAAATGTAATGTATTTTTTAACCAAATATCATCACTAATTCTCTATAAATATGACACCTAAAAGCATTACTTTTGTACAAGGCCCCAAACAAATGGTAGTTATTGGATTACACAGAATTCACCTGGAAAAGCCTCAGGGTGATACTTCTGAGCCGGTTTAATTAAATAGCTACTAAGACTATTCCAGCCTTATCCTATATTAGGATATAGGAGGCTTGATATCCTCCTCTGGAATTCACAATATTTTAGACTTCTGGAATGCAAATCTTAGTTGTTTTGTGTGATCAGGTAAGTACACTTTGTCAAGCACAAGCGACCTTTGAGACAAAAAAACACTTTTAAGAAACATAATGAAACATAAAGAAAGAACATCGAGGGTCTTACCATTCTTGACGCCCTCCTCTATCATTCTCTTGGCTATTGGAGCCTGTCCCTGGCCCAGAGAGAGAGCGTGGAAGTCCTTGCTCATACCGGAGGCCTCAGCCAGCTGCAGCAGGGCTCCTGTGGGGTCCACCCCAGGGCACAGGACAAAGACTAAAGGAGTCTTGCTGGTGGACTCCTCCACAACCTAGGGAGAGAACAGAGTTAGTAGAAAAAAAAGAACAGAGAAAGAAAGCGAGAATAAATGAGCCGACAAGGTGTACGTTTTGTATTGAGCGACAATCAAACAGAATTAGGCACATAGAATGTTTTGTTTCATTTGTTTCATTCAAATTCAAAGCTTCAAACCTAGCAGTCGAGACAGAAGAAGCAACAGGGGTTGAATAGATTACAGCAGACACTCACCGCCTTCATGTCGAGAACAGGCGGCTCCACAAAGCGAGAGCCGAGTTTGTTCACTATGAAGGAGGTGACGCACAAGGAGACACGGTCCTGACGCAGAGAGCGCACTATCAGCATCTTCTGGAGCTCGTTACAGTTAGTATCCCAATCACCTGGGAAGGAACCAAAGAGAGAGAGGGTAAAACAGGGGTAAAAGCAGGCAGTTTATTAATAAGATAGGATAATGTGTGATTAAAATCAGGAAATCGTACTGAACAAAGGCTTTAATGAGGACAAAGGCCAAGAAAAATCTAAAACAGTTAAATATTTCAGAAGAAATATTCATACTGAATAAAACGTAGTCAAATATAATTCTTACAAACGAAGAAGACATGAGTTCATCACCACCAGGGTATAATATACTGTGAGTCCTTTTTGTTTGCAGTGATATTGTATTGTGTACACTGTCCAGTCACAGCCACTCCAGCTGTACTGACATTCTTCCTATCAGCCTTGTTGTTTCAAAAGAAGCTGACCCATGTATAAACACACATATCTAATACAGAAACCATGTACAAGTTTGCAACACTTTCTCTATTGTCTCTGTCATACTTCTGCAAAACCTTGTGAATGAACACCAGTTTTTCTCACACACAAATATCAGACATCTGCGATTTAACTTCATTGTTCCTGGTGGGAAATATTTTAGTTTTTAACTAAATACGAAAGAAGAAAAGAAGAACCTCAACGAACACACACAGACCTGGAAGTGTAGAATTCTCTGGCTCAGCACTGGTGAACCAAAGGTTCCAGTCACGAGGGTACTGTTCAAAGGAAGCCATGATGCCCTTGAAGTTTGGCAGCTTATCCAGCTCTGTGATGTGGTCCCAGCTGGAGTCCACCAGCCAACTGGTACAGGGGTTGTCCATCTGATGCTCCCTATCGAGAACCTAGAAGCAAACCCATCAATCAGTCCCGCTTTCATCAGTGTATCAATAAATAGACCAAACAACACATCAATCAGAAATTCACTGGCAAAGAAAGATAGTAAAATTAATCCCCTAATGGCTATGGAAATCTTGGGAAAATGGCTTGATGATTTCATTCACAGGGGAATGCCTTTTTGGGCATTAAGTGTGTTCCAAGCTTTGAGAACAAAAGGTATGTCCTGTTGGATTATCTTAAATCGAATAAGGCAAAAACAAGAGTATGTTGTGTGTTTTCTTACGAGGCCTCCTCTGAGGAAGAAGCTGTACTCATCCATGTTGAGTTTGCCAGCCACCTCCAAGATTTTAGCACACATCTGAAAGCTGAAGAGCAGCTTATGGACTTCAAACAGACCACGACATGTGTACCTGCGGAGGAAAACACCTGAGTGAGATCATCAACATACAGGGTATATGTTTCCGACAGATCATATAAGAAACTTCCAATTTCAATAAATAAACTGATAGAAATGTCTTTATCATGGACCTTGTCTGATTGTCAAACATCAACATTCATATCACTTTGATTGTATGCAAACAGACACAATTCATAAAATCACCTCTTAATGTACCCTTGCTTACTTGTATACAGCGTATGTGTGGTAGTCATTGAGGTTGGTGATCCTCTCCTCCAGCTTGTGGCTGCGCTTGCTATTTTCTATGCTATGGTTGAACAGGTTAATGTAGGCATCCAGTGAGAACTGGTACATCGGGTCTATGCGTCCCATGTCGTTAAGAATGAAGAAGAGAATGGACGCTCGCTGGGCACAAGAGCGATAGGCCTGGTAAGAGAGATCATTTTAAGTTAAAAACACATACTGTATGCATAAAGGGATTTGATCATAAGACCCAAATCCCCCTCCGCCCCAGTCCCTTCATTCCTACACCTGACCTCTCTGGCAGAGTCAATGTCGATCTCAGTCTGTTCGCTGCTCTCCAGCTGCTCTGAAACCTCAGTGGATGTCACTTTGGATGTCTGCAGGGTGTTCACCAGCTGCACATCATCCAGTAGCGATCCAGTCGCCTCATTCAGCAGCCTGGTAGAGTAGATACACACATTCAACATACACAAAACAATATACAGGAGTAAAAACTGTACAATAAACAGAGGGAACTATTATTACTGGTACTAGCCCAATGACCTTAGGATCTCATCCTCCAGCTCCTGAAGGCTTTTCTTGCCGGCTGCAATGCTGATCACCAAAGAGTCCTTCTGTTCTTCAAGGTCTGGACGCTCCTTTCGCACCACAATTCCAAGTAGTTGGGCTTCCAGACCCTGTAAATTCACAATCAGATACACAAAGAGACAGTTTAAGGCAGCAGCTTCTACTCTCAAACGGTATGTGTACAGAAATAAGCTCAATTATGAACTGGAGCAAAAACAAACACAAACACACACCTGCTCCTTCACAGCAAAGTTGACGATGGTGGTCTTTGTAGAAATCTCTGGTGTGTAATGGGGGTTAGACAGTTTGGTGGTGATGTAGAAGCGAAACTCTGGATTGTACTCCACCTCCTTATCACCCAGCTTCAATATCAGCCTGCCGCCTTGAAAAAGCACACACAAAAACACACCCTAAAAGTTAGCTAAACATTTACTTTAAACACTTATGCCATTTTAATTTGTGTATCAGGGTCTGACCTATTCGTGTCAGCGACTTGTTAAGAATTGGGTTGAGAGAGGGGTCCAACTCCTCCTGGACATTCTGCAGCAAAACAGGATTCCCAAACTGGATGGCTTGCTCCAGCACCCGCAGGTAGTCTGGCATCTGAAAGTCGATCACCTTCAGACCCTGCACATGTGGACACACAGGAGGAGACGCAGGAGAACAGAAAGAGGCAGAGCGCAGAGATAAGTTACGTTATCAAATCAAAGCTTGACATTTTTATTAAAAGTTACGGGACAAATGTCATTTATATCAAAGTCCTTAAAGTCAGTTCTAAGTTTTTCTATTATACTATCAGAAAAATACACGTTTGAAAACTAGTGGTCTTCTGCATGCAACATGAGCATTTTAGTTGTAAATATATGTCATTGTTGGATAATTTGACAGAATTCACGGTTTTCTTCTGGAAGATCTTCAAGAAATTCTGCCGTTAACTAAAGATAGTAAAAATATTTATTATTTATGCAGAAATGTAATCATCCTACATAAAAGTTAGCGCGTTATTATTGTGTTAAAGCATTAATTAATTAACGGTGACAGTTATTTTAGCGCGCATTAACAGTTTTTTATTTTATTATTATTATTATTTTGAAAGTCAGCTACTCACTGACTCTGAATACACATACAGAAAATTATGCGATTAATCGCAATTACACATTTTAATCGTTTCCCAACACTAGTAAAGAAAAGACACAAAAACATTGAATAGGAATCAGAATACGATCCGCTGAGAAAAGACTTACCCTTTCCATCTCCATATTCTTGATCCACTTCAGAGATTGGCCTTGAGGGTCCACCATCAGCGGCCATCTTGAAAAAAGGTAAGGAAATGTTATAAGTCAAAGTGTATCTACAGTATGAAACACATCTTTTGTTTTGTCAACTTAAGAAACTGGACTACAGCTTATCTTAATAAATAACTTTACTTAAGTGTGTCTACATGTACTGACCGGTTTCCACGAGTTACGATAACTCCATTCTCAGTAGAGAAAGCGTCAGAGGGCAGGCCCTGTATGTTCCAGTCCCTCACTGCTGTGGGCCTGGACAGAAAAGCTGCAAAACTGAACCCTGGTGTGCAGGGGATGGCTAAGTCCAGTATCTGAGGAAAAGAAGCAACCAGAGAGCGAGAGGGAAATAAAGATAGAGAGGAGAAAGACAAAGAAAGAGTAGTGTAAATCATGGGGTTTGCTTGTGAAATTACATTCTAAGGATATGACTTTTTACTGAGCTGCGCATGATGTTATTGTATGTTTCTGAGGTGTGCGTCTCACCCCCTGCATCCAGATGGCGAGAAGCTCCTCCCTGTAGTTGGAAAGGAAGGGTCCCATGTAGGACAGGTAAGACGCTGCTAGCAAACAGTCTCCCACCAGGTATCCCATGTTTTCTTCAAGACCCTGAGGAACACACACGCTGATCACATCCGAGTAGGATAAAGGTTCTTGTTTTTGTTGTGTGTGTGTGCATGTGCATGGCTGACAGTAACTCTCTCCTCCCAGCGAACCCTCTCTCCAGCAAGTCCCGTCACCAGTTTGTCAGCTCGGTCCAGCTTCACCTCCATTTCCTCTGATTTCTGCCTTAAACTCTCCTTCGTGGCCAGCTTCTCACCAAGCTCCTTTTGCAGCTGGTCCAGCTTCTCCGCCACCTGTTCAAACACACAGACACACATCAAATAAGTTACAACCTTTCGCAAATGTTGCACTAGTATAGGCTGTTTTTGATATGGACTGGGCTCCATACCTCTTGTAGTTTGCTCTGGGCCGAGGCCATGGCAGCCTGTTTCTCTTCAAGCTGGGACGTGGCAGCATTCAGTTGGGCCCGCTTTGGCTCCACCACCCTGAAGGCATTCCCATAAACCTGGAAGAACAACATGCACATCCATGGATTTAGTTTTGCTTTCTATTTGACTTTTTATGTATTCGATTCGATTCACCACATTCCAAAACATTAATAGAATTTCATGAATAACTGAACAAATGTAATGCTATCTAATGAGAAAAAGATAGCATTACAGGACACAAATAACTGAACCATCAGAAAAGCTATACTAAAAAACAATATAACAAATAGTTCTCATTGTTTTGTGATAGCTGTTGCTGTGCTTTGTGTTTGCTGCTGTTAGTCTGCATACATTAAAATACTAACAATTGACACAATCATTTATTACAAATTATGAATCGCAAACTATTATGGCAAGTGTACACCCTCTTACCTCCATGGCTCGGACCCACATGCAGAGGGACTTGGCAGCCAGCGACACCTTGCCGATGATCTCCGGCTGGAAGTCCACCTGCCTGCAGTACCGGCTGATCTTCTTCAACACACGGTCCGAGATGTTGTCCTTGTCGAAGTTAACTAACGTTTTGATGAAGTTGGACTCACCTGTCAGAAACAAGGTCAGATTGTCAGAAAACCAAGAGGCTTAGTTAAATGAATTCTACCTTACCTTTATTACCTTGTTTTTGTCTATTTACACACATTTTGGGGATAGCCATTTCTAGTATAAAAAACGCTGAAAGGTTTTCTAATATAGTATTGGTGATTTATTTTTCAGTAACACCTTTCCTTCATTCTGTACACAATCTGTGCACTTCTGTTTTCCCAATTCAGTTTTCTCTCCTCCTCCTCCTCCTCCTCCTCCTCCTCCTCCCTAAATACTGCATGTTGCTGTCTCTCACCTATCTGCCTCTTGGCCTCTGCCCAGGTCGGCTCTTTGCCCAGAAGGGTCATGACCGCCGTCATCACCGTCTCCACCAGGGTCGGGGGGCGGCCATACGACTTGATCTCTGTCATGTCCTTCTTATTGAGAGACTCCAGAGCCTATGTGTGAAAAGAGGACGGAAAAGGATGAGGAATGGCAAAACATTTGTGGATGTAGGAAGGTAAGTCATAATGTTTGACAGCCAGAAAGTACACACACAACAATGACAAGGTGCTTACAGTGCAGCAGAGAAATAGAGCAGTCAGATATACACTCACCAAATATCAAGGGAATTATTTACACTAATGGAGAAAGGGTGAACACACAGATAACGCAGACAGAGGGATGGATTAGTAAACAGTCAACAGGAAGGAGCCTCACCCTCATGGCATCTTGCAGTGCAGGCAGGACCTCGTCCAGATCTCTCTGTGCGTTCTCAGCCATGGCTTTACACTGCAGCTCTTCTGCCTTGATTTTCTTACTGCTAGCACTCACCACCTAAACACAAACAGAATATGTGTAAGTAGGTTGCGAAACCACATAACTTCCTTGAACAAACGAGTTCTTTAATCCATTAAGTATAGTGTATATGTTTTTGGTGCTTACATCCTTCTGTTTGTTAGCTTCTCTCTTCTGCTGCACAATGACGGCCAGGTACTCGTCACACTGTTTCTGGAACTCGGCCACCTGGATCTTGGCTTCCTCCAGCTCTACAGACATAGCCTCCACCTTCACCCGCGTGTCACTGATCTTGAAGAGGCCATTACTCAGTTTGCTCACCTGCTCCCCCAATTCCTTGCGTTTCTCCTCCAACAACCTGGAGGGACCCACACATGAAGCAATTGTAAGTGGTGCGAAAACAGAAAAAAAAGAAACAAGAATAAATGAAGAACTCATTTCGAAGGTCCCTACTTCTTGTATCCAGACACCAGCTCCAGGTAGTTGGTGGGGGTCACATAATTATTTCTCTTCAGCTCCATTTTCATCCTTTGGGAGATGTGTGCAACCGACTGGTGTGTGGTCACAAAGATACTGGCGACCTTTGTCTGGATCTACAACATCATGCAGCATATGTAACAAGTTCATCAGGAACTTCAGGATACACATTTTTATGATTGATACATTGATCTGGTTATTGATGTTAGTGTCAGACCAAGGTTCAGTGCAGTTCGCAGAGATAGTAGAAACATTGATTTCTGTTTTCTACACTAGAAACCTTTTCATGTGAGTTTTTAAACAGTTCTCAATGTTTTTTGAAAATAACTGACCTTTTAATAATGTGGAAGGTGTTTAATTTAACATAACACTAAAGTGATATCAAGTGAAATGCTTTATGTCATACAAAATATTTACTGGGCATTACAAATTAGGGCGCTTCCTGTGAAAAAACTGAGAAAAAAGCACCAGTTCTACTGTGAAAAATCTATTGTGTGACGTGCATGCATCCCTCACCCCCTCAAAGGAGCCCAGATCCAGTCCATCCAAGTACCGCTCAGCGACTTCCAGCAGAGCCTCTTTGGGCCACTCACAGAACCAGTCAATGGTGGTGCAGTTAACCAGCGCTGGGTAATGGAGAATGCGGTCCCTGTTGGCAAACATTTATGATAAACTGTAATATGTGGATATTATGATGCCCCTTATAGCAATGTGGTCAGAGTTAACTAGAGCAGGTGCATTTGGCAGTTGGGTAGACAAAAAATAAAGCCATTATGAAAGCCACTATGGATGTCATTCGATGTCCCGTAAACTAATGCTGTCTTTTGTGAGAAAAAGCTCTTTATTTATAGAAAGACGGGCACGCTCATGGCAGTCAAAATTGCTTTTAACAGACCAATTTTTATATAAATTCCTACGATAAGTAGCATCAGCTGTACTACAGTGCGAGTGTGTGAGTTTAGCTGGTTCATTTGTGTAGCAGACTCCCTGAGCCCTGGTGATGTGATATGGCTCCTGCTAGCAGTCAGAGGGCCAGAGAACGGTGGTTAGCTCTGGGTAATGATGCCTGTGAGCCCAATTAGCGGCATTTTGTGTGACCAGTACCCTGTGCCACTAATTGGAAATGGGCCATTAATGCTTGAAAGGTTTTTTTTTTTGTTGAAGAAATGGGTTTGTAAAATGTATGTTATAAACAGAAAATGTGTGACCCCAGTGTAACTTTGAAAAGCTGCTGAGAGGGACTGCAGGGAATAGTTACCCTGTACATGACCACCAGAGCATAGAAATGACCTTCATTAACAAACATAAGTGCCTCGGATGTGTCTGCTTGCCTGGGTGAAAAATGCATCAACATGCATATTGTCTTTTCCTCTTTCATTCAGTTAATATAAAATAATAGCAAAACATGTCTAGCGAGAGAGTTGAAGACATGACTGTGAGTGCCAATATTTAGTCGTGTGTAAGAATGTAAAAATGATCCAATAAAATAATAACGTTGTTTATATAAGTTACTTGTTGTTAGGGCAACAATGCATGTACAGCTGGGACATTTTGGGATTGCAACATGATTCATGCTGTTCCATAAACCTGAGCAACAAGAGCTAACAGGATCCTCAAACAGAGGGGAAGAAAAAGATAAAGGAGAAACAGATTGTGCAGCAGGATTAAGACACAGTGTGCGGCGAGAAACCTGTATGTACCTGAAGGGCTCTCCCACTGGGCTCATACAGAGCACGATGTGCAGGTTGTTCCGGACTCGCTCTATCAGGTAACTGAACAAGGACTCAGGAGTCTCCACCACTTTGTCTTTCCTGGCAGACTCTGACAGAGCACTGCACACCTGGAGGTTAAAAGGCAACAATTACATATTTTAAGAATTGGAAATAGGTATCAAATTATTTGAGACACCCTTTTGGGTAGAAAGGATGCGGACACAGGTTTATATTGATGATGGTTAATGCTCAAACAGCCAAAGTGGATTTTTATGGCCGTTATTTAAATTTGTCCTTTGTTTTTCATGTGTTTTTTGTATGTGATAAATTGACTAAGCTATAACTGCATTTTGTTGTGCAGGCATGTGTTGAGGAATTAATATCAATGATCTCTAAATCTCTTAAATAAACGTTAATGATTTATAGAGGCACAAGATCCTACGGTAGGCAAGTTACAATTATATTGGAGGCTGTGTGTTACTGTAAACATTCAGAATTTAGATTTGACCAAACACGATTTTGCCCTATTCAAATGCATCTTAATGTAAAAACAAATTCCTGGGAATGTACTGTAATGATGGTGTTTGATGGAGCTATTGCATTCCTAGTATTTTATGTCAAACCACAGCCAAGATAATTTTTTTCACTAGGTTTGGTTTAAACATTTAGTTCATCCAAAAGATTTTGAAGACAATACAGACCTCAACAAACTCGTCCTGTTTGTAGAGGTTAGGCACCTCTCCAGAGCTCAGGACGTTATTGATATCCTCCAGGAAGGATTGGTCCACGATCTGTGTGTCATTGAACAGGAAGACTGTGGGCTTGTTGTCCACACCGGCCAACCGGTATAGCTTCTTTATGTCTGAAAAAAAGGATAAAGAAATCAACAATATATAATGACTGAAGATGGGATGTGAGGAACTGAATGACCAAAGACAGATTATATATTCAAAAATATTTTTACTATTTCAGCCAGGCACTAACATTTGTCATGCGTTACACTCAATATTCAAAAACATATGCTCATTGTGATCTTGTTAAATGTCCTTCTTTAGTTTCAGTATTTATTGTTTCAATGTTCCAACAAAAGGGGACACCGTCATGTTATAATTATGTATCTCAAACATCTGTAAATATAGAAGTAGTTTCTTTGATCTCACCTTCTCTGAACTCCTGTTTCCGGTATTGCTTGGTGACTTCCACCTCGAACACCTGGTATTCACAGATGTAGGCGGCCATCTTTGACAGGCTCTGTCTACCGGAGCCCCCCACACCTACAAGAAGCATGTTGCCCCTGAGCTGCCTGATCACACGCACAATGCGAGTTACTGTGAAGAGAAAACAAAGAAATTATCCAGATCATCATTTCTGTAGTTTTTTTTTTTTTAAACCTATATCATTATGTGACACACTTTTCTATTTCCATTTCCTATGAATAGTGTGGAATCTGTTCTAATATTAGCATATCACTTTATGGAGCTTCAGTGTCCCTGGTTATGCCTGCACACTGACAAACCAGCGCAACCCACACACACTAGTGTTGCTCCATGTTGTTTCTGCAGTAATGGAGTGCTATTGATTTGCAGTGGCGTGGGGTAAAGTGTCAGATTGACAGCAGTGTGTGGAGAGCAGAGCCTGCTGCTGAGAGGCCTTCTCTCTCCACTGCAGGGTAGCTTTGAGCTGCACCTCATGCACTGTTCTTTCAAAAGGAGCTTCAAACTAGGCCTGAATCATAAATCTGACAAACAGTGAACACAGCAAAGACACATCAGAGAACAGCACATGAGGACCTCTTACATTGACTGTGGTAATGTACGGGATTGATAATGGGATGGAGGGAATTGACTATTGAGGGAATGTTGTGTGTGTGTCTGTCTTCTGTGTGTCTTTTTAAATGTGTATAAAAGTGTGTGTGGATGTGTCTTATTGTGTTTTCAGACGCACTGTGTTCAATAGCATCTCGGAAGAGCACCAGGCTCATGGGCACTACGCCAGGAGTCAGGCTGTAGTCCTCCAGCTGGGTCTCCATGAACTTCTTGAGACCCTTCATGTCCGTTAGGTCCTCATACACGTGAGAGTCACTCATGAAATCACCTGACACACACACAGAAATAGTCAGGTATCAAGTATCTGTCAGAGTTTGTTTGCACTCATTGGTTTAAAATGGCTGTGTGCATAATGGTTAATGTACCAAATATTGGCGGTTGTTTGTTGGGGCAGATGCTGTGGAAGGTGAGGTCAAAGAGGGAGCCCAGTTTCTCCCCCAGTAGAGCAACAAATGCCTCAGAGTCACTGTGATCCACCAGTCGGTCTGAGACAACCCTGGAATCAACAACAAAACATCAACAACAAATATTATCCAATATAAACACCTAAAAAAGCAGCATGGTTTGCCTAATGTAAAGTTGATATATCCCAGGGCTCAGCTTTCGGCTAAATATGCATGACATCACTTTCATAATGAGGCTTGAAGTATAGTGAATATGTAATATTATGTGAAAAGGTAAAACATTTTCTTTCTTACCTAAAGCACTCATGGATCCACAGTCTAGTGATGCTGTTTTTAGTATCATGGAAGTCTGGATGAGCTCTAAGCAGACCTTGAAACACCTAGAAAGGGGAGAAATAAGGAGACAGAGAAGCATTACTCTAAGCAAAGTGGAAGAATTACAGAAATATTTGACTTCAAAGATACTCTCTTCCAATGTGAAACAGTATTTTAGGTAATGTATGTATGTGTGTCTGTGTGTGTGTGATGTGGGTACACGTGTATCGATTGGACCCATCTTAATGTACTAACGTGTACCTTAGAGATATCCCTGAGGTTGAAGAGGTAATGGATCTTGGCTGGAGTTGGAAGGAATCGAGCTGAAACAGCATAATACAGCTCTAAGGTGGCCTGAGTCAGAATCTCTCCAATGGGCTTCACCTCCTCCTTAAAGCCCTGGAGCTTTTGGTTGATCATAGTACTATAGATCCGCCTAATCTGGGACTCCTGCACAGAGAAAGAACGGTCTGTTTAAGATCGTTGCATCTCTTTAACTAAACACCAATGCCAATGAAATACATGGATTTAAAAGTTGTACTGGTGAAAGAAAGAAGAAGAGAAGAGGAATTGTATAAGGGATGTAATAAATTCATTTCATGTTAGCACATTTTTACATTCAAGGGTGAGGCAACTCAAGTGTTGGCTTCGTGAATGCAATATTGCTTCAGCCAATTTCAAAAGCAAATCTATTTTGTTCTCTTGAGGCAATACAAAAAACACTACAAATAGAATGAAATGAAGATGGGCTGGGAAAGGTTAAAAGGAGCACAACAACAGAGATGAAAGCATGCCAGAAAATTGAAAAAGACTCAAAAGATACAAGAGGTGAGCTGGAGAGGGAGTGAGCAATGGAAGTACACAAATGCACAATAAAAGACAAATAAGAAAAGATATGATAAAATGTCTGGCAGATGGAGACTTACCAGCTAAAATGTACAAACATTGACAACATATGTGCATGTCTCTTTTAGTTAAATGAGAAAACGGTCAAAACTACACAATATGATTCCTGGGTATTTTTATTATATTGCTTATTCCATAACAAACGTTTTCCTCAGTGCTTAACAAGGAAAGGTCAGATGAATTATCAGTAGGACTTACATGAGGGAAGGTCATATTGATGAGATTGAATCGACTCTGTAGGCGGCCAGAGATGTGAGTCCTCCCTCCACCTGGGGGCCCCATAGAGGCCATCAAGAACATGTCCTAACACAGCAGACACACAAACACAACAGAAAAGAGCACATGTATTGGCCTCAGAAGAACATACTCAAGAAATAAACATACAACACATGTAAAGGTCATGTCCCGCACACGGAGAAAGAACAATAATTAAGCACAAAAAATGCCATTACTCACCTTGACAAACTTTAAGGTCTGTTTCTGGCGGTCGTACCAGAAGCCGTAGTCGATCCAGAGATGGAGCAGCTCCAGCGGTGGCTGAGAGCCGAAGAGGTCGTGCGCTGGCATGTTGAGGTCGTCCAGGAAACACAGCAGGCGCTTCCCCCCCGCTGGCACAAACACGCCTTTGGTTCTCTTCTCTATGCGGCTCTCCACGATGGCCTGGATGTTATTAGAGGTGGTCTGCACAGGGATGGATACAAAGAGAGAGAGAAAGACAGAGATGCAGTAATTCAGAAATGGGAACAAATACAGTTTATTGTGAAAATGCATGTATAATTATGTATTTAGGAAGGTGTTTTAGTTTATTAACCAAATGAGACAGTGTCTTGGCTTGTTGGCTAAAAGGAATACATTGTTGTATCTGTATAATATACTTCATGTGACTGACAGAATGAGGGGGGTAAATATAAAACCTTACCTAGTATTATCAAAATCTTGACACTTTTGATGAGTCAATTGTGGGATTAATTTAATGGAATGTAGCTATGACATTCATATCAATACTTTTTGAGAGTTTTGAGCTATTGACACATATTGAATGCAGCAATAAACTGTCCACTGAAAGCAGCAGTCATGCATTCACTGACATACAATTACGAGTAGCTTAATACACTCTTTAAAATACAAACAAATGTAATGACATAAGGAAAGAAACGTAACTAAACCAACCACAACTACTAGTAGTAGTGTGTTTGTGAAGGTTGACCAAAACGTATCACAGAAGAGTGTGGAGGGAAAAGTGGTGGGGACAGCACTCCCGAATTGGTGATAATGGTGGTGAAAGTGTGGTGGAAATGAGTGCCTACATAATATCCCTTCATCACTGCTATTCAGCAATGACGTCGTCCACTGACTCTAATTGCAGTGAAGCTGAGATGGAGGCTATTCAAAGCCATGATGTGGTGGGATGGAGGCACTTTCATTCACTCACACAGACATTTGCACAAGCACCCCTGTACTCAAACACCTCTATGTGACTGTGTCTCATGCTGCAAGTGAGGGGGGAATATACATATACATATAAATGCATATTGGGGTAAAAAGATCACATCTTTTCATGAGAAAAACAGAAGCAAGGGGTAGATTCATGGAAAGACAAGAAGCCAAATGTGTTGTCACCCAAAAACAACACATTTCTTTGGAGATAGACTTGTGTTTTTGACAGTGTTAGAAGAATAGGGAATAACACAGACACACACACAGGCAATGCAGAGGCACTAACCTGTGAGGACATGTTGACAGTGAGGGAAGACCACTTGTTATCCAAGCCGTGCAGGATGCTCTGGGCCACTGAGGTTTTTCCAGTGCCCACGGGCCCGGTGAGTAGCACTGGGTACCGACCCATCACCAGAGCCTTAGCCAGGAAGTTGTAGCGAACTGTGTCCACTGTGGGAACCATGATCTTATAGAATGGAGCACTGCAGCAGGAATGGAAACAGACATGGAGGGTTATACCGTCTTTCTTTATGCAGATTCAAGAGTAATATTCAGTGGGTTGGCAGACAGCTGATGTCTGATACAAAGGACCACCAGGTCACTTACCTAGCATTGTATCGCCAGCCCTTTGGCAGTTTCTCTTCAAAGGAAGCCCAGGTTTTGTTCTTGGTGTCCACATAGTACTCATAAACCGTGTCCTGAAAGAGTTTACAATTCAAGTTTAGAGACGGTTATGTATGTTATTTAATTTTTGTGTTACAATTATTATTTGTATATTTGTTTTCGGATGTTTATATACATGGGCTTCTGGAGTAATCTATGCTAACAGTGGTTCATCTTTAACTATTAATTATACGGTTTTAGTAAATAACATTGTTATCTGTATGCATATACTTGTATGACATTTCTTTACTCTTTATTGTCATGCTTTGCTATTGTATTACTATGTTGGCACCCATCAATGCCCTGGTTCCATTTTTGATTTTCCTTTTTTAATACGTTTTGATTCTTATGTATTAACGTTTCTAGTTTCTTCGCCATGAGATTCTAGCTCTTATACCTAAAACAATGCTTATTTTTTTTTACAAGCTATGCTTTCTGCCCACATGTTTCAACTTTTTTGTCTTGTGGGTTTATATTAATATTGAATAGGTTATTTCTCTCATTGCCCAAGCCTACTTGTCCTTTTTATGCAAAACATAATTTAGCCGAGGAAATTGCTAACAGTACACTTAACACTGGCCAAGTAAGCAAACTAGTGCTGAGTGTTTGACTGATTTTGTATGTCACAAGTGTGTTAACAAGTATTATGCTCTATAGAGGACCTTGATGGGGAAGGTGCCCTCTATCTCCCGCAGGAAGTTGTCCATCCTCTTGCGTCCATTTTCATCTACAGATGCACAGACAGACCAGATGAGGCAGAAGATGAACCAAAGCTCCACCATCCTACCCAAGTTTTCTGTGTCCGAAGTATTCACCTGGAGAGAGGGAGAAGAAACATATTACTTACTCACATGCTTAGGCTTTCTTTCAGTTATGAGTCTAAAACCAAATGCCATTTTTCATGAATATTAAGTTATGATGGAAAGTGGTTGTCCATGAGAGGGGTGTGCAGTGGAGGCTACAGATTGCACTTTGTCTCACCCCATTGCTGGGTGTGGCCAGGGAGTCATAGAGGCGGCAGAGAGAGGTTACTCCGTTCAGCTCAGTGATGGAAATCAGCTCCTTGCAGTTTGTCTTCTTAAAGTTCAGTGTGCTCTCCGTGTATTTCTCAAACAAGCGCTTTAAATGGACCCCTTCAGCCTGTGGAGAAATGAGGCCCCAAATGATCAGTAGATATAAATGGAACAATAAGGGGTCCAGAAAACAAGGAATGAAATGGATGTCATTAAAAGAAAGTCAGTGCATTATTATGATGTAATGCTCTGCACCTTGTTTCGCTTGTCCAGCCACGACTGAACAAAAGGCTTCCATCCCAGGTCAGTGTAATCGTTGTAGACCATCCCACAGCGAGACACTGTAGCTGGAGAGGCCTGTGCTAGGTTCTCCGCTTCAAACAGCAGAGACACCTGGGACAAAACTATTTAGGAACTTTATCTAACTTTATACAATCAATTTAAACAAAGAAGGTCATTAGTTTGTAAGACGTTTCCCCTTCAAGCTTCTTCCTCTTTCTAATCATGTTAAGTAAACAAACATGCTGGTTATCTTTTGTTGGTTCTGTTCGAACCTGTTCAGGCATGGAGATTCGCTCTCCATTGATGAGTGTGAGCACCTTGTTGTCATCCATCACAGAGTTCATACTCTCTATCCACAGTGTGTCAACAGGCCCATCAAATATGATCCACTTCTCATCTGGTTTCTCATCTAAAGAAAAGTATTGACATTCAAATTATGAGTGACATGGAAAACCACATTTTTTAACACTACCATTTTTTTATGTATAGTATTACCACTCTAAAAGCAAGTGGAATTTGACTTTGTTGACAAAACTCTATAAGACAATATAAGGATTTCATTTGATGTTCAGTTTAAACATGTGTTTGCATGAACAGCAATGTGTGTTTTAGTGTCAGCACCTGCGCATGCTGATCTCATGAGTGAAGACAGAACTCCATCAGACCACTCGTTGGTGGAGAGGTCGTTTTCTCCATACAGCTCTCCCAGACTCAGGGCCTTGGGGTTCAGAGGATAGTCCTGTATCACAGGGACCAAGGCATAAAAGACAAATGATAAACAAAAAGAGCAATATTATGGCAGATTATAATGACTGATGTCAGCTGACAAATGAGATCAGTAGCTTTCATGGACATTTGTTTTATATTTTAGCGCCTGAATTGATCAGGGTAAAGATATCACAAACCTAGATTCATTTTAGTAACATTTTAAGAAACACTTTTTGTGTAGTGCTTGTGTGTGTATTGTGTGTGTATTGTGTGTGTGTGTGCCTACTTTCATTTGCATGAGCATGTAGGTGAAACACAATCAGAAATAGAAGGTAGAGTATCTCTGTGGAGACAGGCAGTAAAGAGGAACAGAGAGAGAGAGATAATGAGAGCCAGAGAGAGGTGAGGCACCAGAAATAGATATGCAAAAAGCACAAGGGGGAAATAGAGAACAAGAGGTAAAAATAAAGAGAAATAGGTAGAAAGAGAGCGAGATGAAATGTAAGGCTAGAAAGAGAAGCAGGAAGAAAACATGTCTGTCATTCTAAATGGCTGTTGACTTGTTTTGTGACCCTAAAACGTTCTTTTTAGTTTTAAGAAGCGGTAAATGACAGCGTGTTCTTGTCCATCCACACCCACCTGGACCAGCTCATAGTCAGGCACTCCTTTTTGATGCAGGGTGGTGAGGGCCTTCTGCAGAGTCCTCCAGGTCACACTCTTACCGCTGCCTGTCTTGCCCACCAGCATGGTGGAGTGTCGAGAGTTTTTGGTCTCATAAAGTTGGATGACCTTGGTCAAGGTGAAAGCATTCACCTGCAAACCGCTCTGACGAAGCTCCGCCTCTATAGCCTCCCTGAGCTGCAACACAATCACAGAAAAAGATAGACAGATGATGGTGACACCCAGAGTGATATTGTACAGAAAATGATGACATATGGACCACGATGTACCGAGTCAAGTTGATGATTTTTGTTTCTTATGCAGTTTATGACTGTGCTCTCAAAGCAAACCTTACCAAACACTAATTTTCTGCGAGAGCTGATCTGGACTGCTGACTGACCTTGCCATAATCTATGACGGGTGTTTCCACAGCAGGAAACAGGTCCTGGGTGATTCCATTGAACAGCGGCACGTCAGCAGAAGTCAGCTTAGCAATGTTCATGTCTTTCATCGCCATCAGTAGGATCTGTGGACAGAGAACATAATTACAACTATAATGGAAATGTTAGTTCATTTGAACGGGAGGACAGTTGTTAGTTTGGTTGAATTAATAGATCATTGTTTCGTATAATTTCACATTGTAGTAAAAGGTGTCGATAGATGATGTAGTTACAGCATCTACCTACTTACTTCTTGATCCGCCATGGAGTTGCACTAACTTTACATCTGGGAGAAGGCCATTTGATTTGACTAATTCAGACCATTAGACAGGTTTGTTGTAGAAAGTGAGCGTGACAAAGAAAGACCTACTTCTTCATCAGGAACGTTGCCGCAAAAGCGTCTCTTCTGTCCAGCATAGCGGAGCAAGGAGGTGAGGGCACGCAGGCCAAAATCATAGTGGTCCTGTTGGGACAGCTGCTGCACTGCCAGGGAGTACAGCGTGAACACCTTCTTAGCCAGCAGCTACGAGGACAAAGGCAGAAAACAAAGGTGACTCAGAGTAACAGAAACATCCACGCCCACCACTGATCATGTTCAGCTGAAGCTACAGTCGTTCTGATTTTACAACAAGATTATTATTAATGGCACGTACACTGATAACTCATTTCTAATGAATCCATCAGATTGATTTGATGATATTGCATCTCTATCAGTGTAGAAGAACTCAATCTCATGTGCTGATTGCCTGAGCTCTTCACATAAAAGAAGCGGGAATGTTTCATTAAGGCTGTGATAATTCGATGATATTCTTTAGAAATCGGTGCGATTATGAGCTGTGTACAGGGCGAAAATAGCACGCAGACTGAATTCATTAAACAGATACATACACTATACTATCTGTTGTTATTGAGAAGTGAGAGGGTTGTAGGGTTTTCTTATAGTTACAGAGTAATGCCATATTTCCATGCTCCTGAATAAATTGTGACTCTAAATTGTGGCCTGAAACCACCAGACTAATCCTGGTTACAATGAGTACATTTACTGTACATGCACACATGTAGTGTGTAATAGTATTATCCTGGGAAACGTATACTATGCACATTTCTGAAATCAGGGTATTATTTACTTCGCAACACACTATCAGGATACTCCGATGAAAATCCGATGAAAAACCATGCTATTAGTGTGCATGTTAACATATAGAAAGACACAGATACCAGTTTTTCCCCCAGCATAATACGAGTATAAAAGTCCTTAAGTTTCAGTACCTTGCAGTTGTTGAAGCCTTCTCCAAACAGAATGATCTCAGCGATTAGAGTTGAGTCTGGCACCACCATGGAGATGGGTCTGAACATGGCCTTGAGGTTATCTGGGAGCTCGGAACGACCAGCGTAACCTAGGGAAAAACAGACAGAACAAAAAAGATTATAAAGGGGCGGCTGTGGGCTAGTGCGCTGATCCTCAGATCAGGGGAGCAGCCACTGCAGTCAACATGCTGTTGTGTCCTTGGGTATTGTCCACAGTATTGATGTATTCCATGTGTAATATATGTAATATGTAATGTAAAGCGCTTTGAGCACTTGTCAAAGAGCTAAAATAAATGCAATTAATTATTATTATAATAATAAACCCTGAAAGAGCAATGTATCCTCTGGAAAATGCTTAAACCACTTTTGCAACGTAATGTATGCTTTTGGGCGTTTGTGTTGACCTACCAGGATTCATGGTGATAAAGATACCACATGACCAGACCAGGCGTATGTGATGTCCTTCAAAATGGAACTTTGTTTGTCCGGCTGAGAGGGCAGACAGGATGAAGAGGATCTGCTGAGCCACTACCGACAACACCTCAATGTTGATTCTGTTGAACTCATCAAAGCACCCCCATGCTCCTGTCTATTTAGTGTTGACACAATAAAATACATACAAATCACACATTGATCCAAAAACACATGTAGTTTCAAATCCATTGTTCCTACCTGTGCCAGTCCAGAGAACATGCGTCCCATGGATTGTAGTCCAGTCCTTCAGAGCAGTTGACTACAATGACATACATGCCGAGAGCTTTGCCCAAGTCCTTCACTGTCTCTGTCTTCCCAGTCCCCGCAGGGCCTTTAGGAGAGCCCCCCCGGTGCAGATGGAGGGCTGTGGTCAGGGTCATGTAACACCTGGACACAGAAAAACATGTAAAAACAGACGTTGGCTCTACAGATAATTATAGTAAAAATAAATATCTAGATACAAGCAAATATGATCAGATATTTTCATTTCAAGCAATAATTAAAAAATGTAATAAGCATATATCAAAACATTGAAAAAAAGACCTTTATTGCAATTATGAATCTACAGTACTGTTAAGACAATTCACATTCAAATGTGCATTGTCCTTTTATCTGTAAATGCACTAAGGTATATAATATAATCAAGTGATTACACTACAGTAACAATCCTAATCACTTAATATTTAAGTACACACATAAAACTGAAGTGTGACTGATTGATGTGCTGTTGCACGTGTTGGTTGGTGCACTAATTGACTGAATGATTGATGGCTACCTGTCAGTCAGTGGAGTGATGACGAGGCGTCCGGAGTTGCCCAGGTACTCGTAGCCGTACTTGAAACGTGTGTTAGTCTGTCGGATTATGCAGTCTTCGGATTCCTATTGGGAAGATAAAAAACATTTGAAAATGCAAGTTCAGTGGATGTTTTCTTTTATTTCCAACTTAGCTGATCGAAGCAAAAATGATCTTTTGCTGCTATTAGACAGCCAGCACAGAGAGTGATAGAGAGCGGGAAATGCTGAAAATAATGAGTAAAGTGTGAAAGATTGAGGGGATATGTTTGGGTAAAAGTGTTTTAAAGTATACCTTTAACTGCCATAAAAGAGGTTGACAGAAACAATACTTTTCTAAACCCATACCCACCATTAAAGTATTGCATTCCGCTTTGAAATGTGTAAATCATGGATACAAGTTTTTGTATGTCTTTTTCTCCACACCGTTTCCTGCTCTTGCACTTCTTGGAGCATACCTTGTCCCAGTAGAGTCGCAGCTGAGAGAGCCACTCAAAGGCATTAACGTCATTGCAGCCTGTCTTGGCCAGTTTATCAATGACATCCCGAGCATGAACCTCCACTGTGACCAGCGCTACGATCTTCAGACGGAGGACTTTGGACAGGTTGCCACGGATGAGCTCTGAATAGCAGTGAAGCATTGAGACCTGAAAACAGTTATGGCAAAGGCTCAGAAGTTTACTGGAATCCTTTTCTCTTCTTTAAATGATTATATTGGCTATCGATGGAACTCAAAAGGATGGTTTAAACATATTGAAAATAAATCTCTAACCGTATCAAAACACATTTTACATGCTACGGTAGTACAGAACTTTCATCTTGTTGGATGGAAAGATCATCACAGTCAGTTCACTCTAAATGATTCTAGCAACAAAGAGTTAACCTGTTTCTTCTTCATGGATTTAAGGGACGATTTGTCACCCCTCTCCTTGCAGGTGAAGAGCGCTTTAGTGACATCGATGGTCCACTGGATCTGACTGGCTGTGATCAGCATCTACAATTATAGGAAGAATACACGCTTAATTACTTTTGAATGTAAAGCTTTGTTCCTGTTGATACACATAGAGAAAGGTTAAATGGAGTTTAGAAGGAACTTGGATTAGTAAATCACTATAAGACACAGCTTTTCAATTTAGTGAATCAAGAGCATGTCACTGAATTAGTGTCAGTCTGTCAGGATGTCAGATGGGTGAATTTGCAAAACCACAATGGGCAGTTATAGAGAGAAAAGACAAAGAAAAATGTACCTGTCCCGGCCAATCTCTGACCCATTTGTCTCTCTGTCCTGACATCTTCTTCAGAGACACAAGGCAGCCGCTCAGATAATCCTTTAGTGTATCACGCATGCTTAACTCAATATCACACAGCCAAACCTGCATAACCACAAAACAAAATGGTGCTGACATCTCTCACAACTCTCTGTATTGTACACATTAGCACCGATGCTATCATGACTACACATCTATCAACAGAACACTCATATCAACACGATCATGGCATTGATCATCACTGCTGTACCTCCACAGGTTTGTCCAGATATACTGTTGCGAAGAAGCTGATAAACTCCCCATCAGCAGAAGACATCCCGACGGCCAGTGGTTTATTTGTCTATAGAAGAAACACACACACACACACAGAATGGCAGAATGGAGATTCTGTTAAATAATAATATAATAATGGTTTTTTCTAAGATTAAAAATAACTAGGCACATAGCACCGGAACAGCGTTTTTTTTTGTCTGAGGGCAATGCAACATGATATAACAAACCATCGTGCATTTAATAATCTCATCTTAAAAATATGTGTAGAATAAGTATTTTTAACTCATATTTCCTCCTCATGCAAAGGGAATACTAAGCGTACAGTAAGAACACATTGACAATAACCAAGCCTTTTAAATATGCTTGACAATTAAACAATTTCCATACAAATAATAATTTAGCTTACATAAAAGCCTTCTTAGATTTTGTACCAAAGTGAAGATGTTAATAAACACAGGCAGTGTAAATCTAACTGCGACTTAATGGCCTTAAATGAATCTTTCTTAGAATAAGTATGTATGTGTATGTTGCCATTATCTTTGTGATCCCTGCCTTGTCAATCTTCAGGCTCTTGATGTTGTCGAAACACTTCTTCATGTGGGGCTGCATGGCTTCTGGGTTCTGTGACTGCCCCAGGATCTCCAGTAAATCATCGTTGGACAGGAAGTAAAATCGGGGGAAGATCTGCCTCTTGGTCTCCAGGTACATGTCCAGGGCCTTCTGGATCTCCTCCAGCTTCACACTCATCTCTGACAGCTTCTCCGGCAAGCCTGGAAGCCAGAGAGGGAAAGCTAGTTGAAGACTCAGTTCTAAATATAATTGTATTTATCTGTCAGATGGTGTGAATCCATGTCCATGTTGTCGTACCGGCGTGGTGTGTCCCCTGCAAGGCGTTGTTATCCTCGTGGAGTCGGCCCATGATGGTCTCCCAACTAGAACTAACCTCTTCGAACTCTTCACACTCACAAGGCAGCTGCTCCCTGATGTCCTTACCTTGGAAAATGTTCTGGAGCGAGGAGAGACAGAGAAAGAGTGCTCAAACTCTCCAATAAGACCACAACAGATGATAAATGTGTGCTTTGACAGATGATGGGAATACCCCTGGAAATGAATGAATCATTTAACACAGTAGAGTATGTGAGTGCTTCCCAAACCTCCAGATAAATCCACTGACGCTGCACCGTGAGGATCATCTCGATGACTTCCAGCACCTGTGACAGCCGCCGCTCCCAGCTGTCCACCTCCCGCTCGAAGGCTTTGACAAAGCGAGAAGCTTTCATTGTTGACAGAATGACCATGTTGTCATCCAAGGCCTGGAAAACCTCCTCTGTGCCCCTGGGAGAGACCAAGAGGGAGAATTATGGTTGCTGAAGATCGCTTGAGATGGATTCCAATGGTGAAAGAGCAGGAATTAAGTTTATTATGTACAAGGTACAGTTAAGGTGGATGTAATGCAGTTTCTCAGTAACTTGATTGTCATTAGGTTTTTTTAATAATAATACTGTGCTCAAAAGGAATACTCCAGCATTAGTCATATTTCATTAGGTTTGGTTCAGACTTTTGGTAAATAAAAAAGTAATCTATCCAGTACACGTTTAGTAGGTTTAATTTTCAGTACCTTTCACATATCCTTCATTTTCTCTTTTCGCATTACAACCTCACAGTTTCATGTTTTTAACTGTGGGCAAGTGGCAGACAGTAGTCTTCCCCCCTCCTTCAAATCAGTGGCAATTTCTTTGGTTGCTAATAAAACTGTGTCTGAGATCTGACTAGATTCATTTGTGTATGCAACAGATGGCCTCTGCTGTCCTGCTTCCACCAGCCAGGCTGTCATTCTTCCTTCTCTTCTCTAACGACAAACCAACTCCCATTTCATTCTGACTTCTCCAACAAGGCTGTTAAAAGATGCATCATTCTGGCATCAATGTCACATATGCTCTCCCACTATACAGCCATGCTACAGAGGCATTACTGTAAACGCTAGATTGATACATCACCAGATGGCAGTTGTACTGAGCTGTGGGATCTAATGATGCATGTCAATAAGACATCATGAAGACACAAATCTATCCCCATTATATAAATGGAGTGCATCAGCCTGGGTTACAGTAACAGCTGCTTTAAGCGTTCAAGGCTTGCTTTCTCACATCAGCCGAAAGTGGCCTTTGTCTTTGTAAGGTGTGATGTCCAAGAGTGTGTCCGTCCAGGTCTTGATAATGTCCTCCAGGCTCTTAATGATCAAACACAAAGAGTAATGTTAGCATACAGGACACACACAGAGGTCCTTTAGAATCTTTTCATTTTTCAACATAAATCTAAAAATGTTTCTCAATTGTCTTTTTATACAATCATTCTTTGTAGTCTTGTACTTTGGAAGTATGTATACAGACTAGAATAATATGATACCCTGTTAAGAAAGATATTTATGAGATTTTTTTCATGGGTACAATGAACAGAGGCGAGAGAAGCTACACATCTGCCCACTGAGCATCAGTGTAGACTAGAGGAAGTGACTGGACCTGTTCTATGGAGAGTTCCTTGCTGGAGGCTCCAGAGATCTCACAGATCTTCTCAGTATACCTGTCCAGGCCCAGAGATATGATCTTATCCAGGGTGAATGCAGTGCTGGTTTGGTCAAAGGAGCACTGCAGCTCGTCGCAGATCTGCTTCCAGTGCCTGAAAGAAAGGTGGCATTGAGAGCAGGGTTTGTCCTGAGTGTGAGTTTACATTTGCCCAGTAAGTCAGCAAATGAAAGTAAAGTGAAAAGTAAAGAAAGCTACCACCTCCCAGGTAAGACACTTCACAAACAAAACAATAGTTCCGACCTATACTCTAATGACAAGGAAACACATGTAGATTCTTTAAGTCAATACCTGTCTCTCATGGCTGGGTTCCTCAGATCAGCAATGAGAGGGATGATCCTCTTAAACTGGTCTATTTTATTCTTGGTGAAATCCACAATGTTCCACTCCTTATCCTGCAGGGAGACAAAGATCAGGTCGTCTCTACTGTGTAATATTTATGTTAGAACTGCTGCATTTTGACGATATTTTCATCACATGCAGTGTGTCCTGAGAGCAGGGCATATAATGTTTTAGCTGTCATTGTAAAAGGAGTCTGTTCATTGTGACATTATTCAGTTTCCTTTGAAGTGAGACCATAAACAATGTCCAGCTTCTAGATAGTATAGTACTGATTAATGTATTGTTTGGGCATGAGTCCAGTAACGTAAATGTCTAAACTGACACAGATTATATATTATAGCTAAACCGTGAGTGTAGTAGCTCATCTGCAGGACTGACCTTTAGTTCTCTCTGGAGTTTGTTGAGTGTTTTGAACATGTCCTGCGCTGTGCTCTCCATGTTCTCCGTCCGCAGGGTGGCAAACTGACCGACCTTCCAGATGTTCCAGTTGGCGTTCCACTCCTTTGTGATCTCCCAGACCTGCTGCAGGTGTTCTATGTCCTGTACAAACCATTTAAACACACAAACGGTCGATATATAATCATGTACATAATTATAATACTAATATTCTAACCCATCCTAGTACCAGGAGTCTAGTACTAGGAGCAGTGGGCAGCTATTGTACAGCGGCCCTGCATTTGCAAAATTCCTTTAATGGCAACATCCTAGGTCTGAATTTATAAACCCGTCTAAGTCATGTCCTGAAAAAGAGCATATACTGTACTATCAATTACCGTCTAAAGAATGCTAACTCACTTATGCTAAGCCAGTTTATCTCAACCACACAATTCCCACAGAACTGTATAAGCTTGTTTATAAGTATATAAGGGCTATGAGGTAAGTGCTTTGCCTTTTCGAGCGCCCGGATCTTCTTGGAGGGGGGCTGTTCCATTTTAAAGAAGTTCAGCCCTTGAATGAGGGTGATCTCTTCCTGTTTCAGAGCCTCCAGTTGGCTGTGATGCTCGGCTACTTTGTTTAAGGCAAACTCCGTGCTGAGGGAACTGTCAAATGGACCTGGATATGAAAAATGTAAATGAAATGAGATCAATAACCCATGAAAAAGCATACAAAAACAGAAAAACACACAGATTGAAATGTCCACACACTATTATACAATGCCTACTGAATACTACCTTTCAGCTATATCATATATGTGTGTTAAAAGAGGGAGTAAGAGTGTGTGTGCGTGTGTGTGACCTGTGCTGTTGAACTCCTCCATAGTGCTCTGGGTCTTCTTCTTGAACTCCTCAGAGGAGAGGAGGAGGGTGTTCTTAAACTTCTCCTTGTCCTTCTGCAGCAGGATGTCACTGTCAATCAACACCTGCTGGAACCACACCCAGTCCTCGTTCAGCACCTCATGCAACTCCTGCACCTGTGGGTCACCAACAAATGTAGTGTTCGTTTGTATGACAATCTGCAGTACTATCAGAGAAGAGTTTTTACAATGTCTGTATTTGGCTGAAACCCTTAAGTGTCTGTGTACACAAATCCAACAGATGTCATTGTTTTACTTCAGGGGAGGTTAACACTATACACTTTTCTTAGTCCTTTCTCTCTTTATCAGGCAATGTGCTTACAGCCTGTTCCACTGGGACCTCGTATTTGTCCAGGATAGCAAACTGTTCGTGGATGAGAGGAATCTGAGCCTCTGTCTTGGCCAGGTTGCCCTGAAGAGTCTCCAACAGCTTCATGTTCCCACTGAGCTCTGCCAGTGTCTGAGGAGGTTTTTTCAGCCTAAACACACATATAGAAATAATCAAAACAAAGAATCATACCACTTTAAGCACAGTATATATTTTCCAAATGTTTACAGGATCAACATTTCCCCCTTGGGATTCTATATTATTTATTTTCATACATATGTTTTGTTCTGTTTCATTGTTGTTTCATTTCTTACCTATTCTATATTTACTTTTCTTGATTTGATTTTAAATTGGTCCTACTAGGTTTACGTTTTGCACCAATACAATACATCGAGTCCTTGTATGTGAAAAACGACTACGCAATTAACCGGATTCTGATCTTCCCTTAATGACTGAAAACAACACTGAAGGTTAAATCAATAAATAGTTATGCAAAGGACTTGTTAGATCTCTCTCCCTCTTCACCTGTCATCGCTACTCTCTGTAATAATCACATACAAATCTAAAATATAAACTCCTCTCCATTGACTCCCCACCTGTTGGCATTGTCTTGCATGGAGCCATGAAGTTCTTTGAGGCGGGTGCTCGCCATGTCGCTGAGCAGCTGAGTGAACTTGGTTTGCCACAGGCTGCAGAGCTGCGCCAAGGAGGACTTGAGAGGGGAACAGTCCAGCATGACAAACCGGATGGTCAACACCGTCTCTTCCTGCTGAACACTGTTGGCCTTCTCTGTGTACCTGGGGGTAAAACAAGTCACAACTCACAATGTAGTCCAATGCTTGGAGTATCAAAAGATGCATAGAAATGAACAATCAAAGAAGGATGTTCCTGCCTGTGTATATCAGCATCAAAAGTAGTGACTGGTGGGTTTAGTCTCTTGTAGCGTTGTATAAAGGAATCCTGATTGTTCTCCCAGATATCCCTGTATCTGTCCCACGTCTTTAGATAGATCTGCAGGTTGCTGGCATTGGCTGTCATCCCCGTGGCAACTGCAGCCTGAATCTTCTTTATCTCCTCGTCTTGCTCTAAAGGGTTGATGGCAAGGGTGACAACGGAGACGGGAGAAGAAGCACTTTCGGGTCTACATTATTCTCAGCACACAGTAAAAACAGATCAGATATTCACAGTGGTACTCTTCTTGGACATTGCAAAAACGTTGCTCTAACCTATGTTGATGTGTATGGGATTCCCCTCTGACTGCTTGCCGGAGAGAACTTCAGACAGTCGTTTAAATTCTGAGATGGTGTTGATGAGCTGAGGCATAATGTTCACAATCTGAGCGAGCTTTGCGAGCGTAGGGGAGATCTCGACCTGTCAAAACACACGCAGGTCAGCATCAAGAGAACTACCCCAACATACATTTTGATATTTTCCATAGCACTTAAACAGATAAATAGGGGTTTGATGGTACCTTCGGTGTACTTGTGGGAGTTGCCTGGCGCATTGCTACCATGACTTTGAACAAGGGATTAGGTGAGGTCTTGTTGTCTCCATTGATGGCCCTGGAGAGCTTCTTCATGGAGTTCTTGATGTTGCTCCTTAGAGCTTCTTCTACCATGTGATTCACCTTCTCTGTATAGATCGCCCAGTGCTCCTCGACCTTAAACACCATGGTACAAACATACACACATGACATGGGACTGCACATTTGTATGTTTGCTGTACATGATATCAAATAAAACATTGAAAACATGTCTCGCTGTCGATACGAACAGAAAGAGATTTGACTTAATGATAAAGAGGCAGAATGCAGTGTTTGCTCTCTTGCTTGTTGTCATTGAGTTTTCATGAAAACATTTTTAACATTTTTCAAAATGTTATGTTGATTTAAAGGGGACCTATCATGCAAAATGCACTTTTGTACGTCTTTTATACATGAATATGTGTCCCCGGTGTTCCAGGGAACTCACCAAGTGTCAGAAAACACAACCCTCTCTATTTTCCTCCATACCCAAATCTGTAAAAAAGGGTCTGATAAAAACTGATCCAGATTTGAACACTGTCCTGACGTCAGCACAGTGGCGCTACGGCTATTGGGCCAACTCTCCACCAATCAGGAGGAGACAGCCACGGCCATTGCCGTTCGAAAGCGCTGGAGACGCTGTAGTACATATGCCAGGCCTGTAGATGGTGCTGTTCTCACAGAATCAGCCCTTGCAAAAACAGAGCTAACATTTTTCAAATTGAGCGAAATGAGGCATGGCTAAAATGCATGATCTGTTTGGTATTTTGAAGAAAAAAAATGTATAAATATGCCTTATATAGGTATGGTCCTACACTATATTATTCAAATATAGCATGATAGGTCCACTTTAAACATCACCTTCAGAAAAAGAGCTGAGCTACTACTTAACAGTTTCAAGTTAAAAAATCTTGCACCATTATCATGTTGGCTTATGCCTACACCTAGCATACAAACATTATTTTCTCACATAGAGGAAGCACAAAATAATAATCTTATACATGTTACAGTGTTCCAACTATTTCCTAACAGTGCAGGAAGAATAACGCCAGTAGTGAAGGAGAAAGAGCACATACCTCAGGCCCATCATTGGAGAAGGTGCTGTGGATGTGAGACATCATTTCAGCAATATCCTGGTGTGCTGAGCGCAGTGTTTGGAGTTGGCTCTGCTGGTGTTTCTTCTGGTCATCCTCAAACTCCAGGTTCCTTCGAATTGCAGGAGAAACACCCAAGATTCAACCAACACAGAAAAACAATGTGCATCACTTGAACGGTAATATGCAACCCATGTGCATCACTTCAGACAATTGCAAAAGTGGTGAAAATGTATGAATGATTTGTCAGTAATATAGTATGGCCTGTTTCAAGATAATTAGCTCGATATTGGAACTAAAGTAAAGGGGATTTCAAAGAATGACAGCATAGACTAAATCCACATGACAACGCTGAGTTTAAGGATGAATGAATACGGATGAATACAATTAAGGGGTGTCATGTTTAAAATCAACTCATAAAAACAACTTTACCCAATGTTTACAGTAGTTAATGAATTTACATTTTAAATACATACACACAATATAAATTGTAGGAACCATTTTGTAGGAAGTGACTAAAAACATGATGAACCTTTCTCTATTTTGTGTTTTACTCTGTTAGGCATCCCATGCAATGAGGAAGTGAGTGTTACCTGAACACAGTCTTTCCATCCAGTCTAACCAGCAATGTTTCGCTGATTTGGCAACAGAGGTTGGAGATGGATAGGTTGGATAGTTTGTATCCATCAACCAACAACTGAACCTATAGTGTGATTAAGATGAGAGAAGAGGAGAGGAGTTTATCAGTGACTAAACACCACTATCCAAGAATATGATCCACATCTGTTGAGGATACTTTGAGGTACTTTTATCCTGTTGACACCACTTTTGTCATTGTGAATCCAAACAGACAGTATTTATTACAGTAACTGTACAGGTGGCTATATCAGTTATGCATACACTTTGTGTTCCTACCTTGTTCACGTGCTGGAGACCTTCCCGGATGAAGATATTAGAAGCCCCTTTAGAAAACCACTCGAGCTTGGTCAGCCCCGGCTGAATTTTCTTATCAAGGAAATGAATCCGCTCGCGAAACAGACCTATCTCATCAGGAGACAGCATCCCAATGACCCTGATACACACACACACCCATGCAACGTACACACACCAACACAGAAGGGCATTTAGTTAATTTCGGTGTGCTCAGTTAACTGGTTAACAACTACAGACAACTGCTGAGATTTTGTGTGAATTGGAGTGAATGTGTTTTCATTTTTAATTATTGTATATCCTATATTACCAGCTAAGAACTTAAAATTAAAAAGCTTGGTAAAAAAATGTATATATATATTAGGGCTGTCAAGTTAACGTGTTAATAAGGCGCCACTAATTATTTTAACGTGCGATTAACGCATGTGTATTTGTCCTCGGCCCGCCCCGTAGTTTCAGAGTCCAAAGGCTTGACGTTGTTGTTGTTGTTGTTGTTAGTTGGATGGTGGGAGTTTCTAGCGAGAGATATGGATACAAAAAAAGGTGTTTTAAACAGCAAGCCAAGCACACAGCTGATGCTGACAGCCCCGCTCCTGCCGCTCGCTTGCAGCAGACCACGCTTGAAAGTTTGCCGGGGAGACGCCTGGAACACGGCGCCTACGAGCAGCAAGCTCTCAACAGCGATAGCTAAATGGGTGGCGGTGGCTACAGCTTGCAGGACAATTAACATTGTGGAGGACGAGGGGCTGTGTGAGATAATTCGGATCGCATCCAACGTGTCGACTGCACATCACACATTATTTTGACCCTAGGTGGGAACTTCAGTCTCATGCTTTGACTGTTATGAAGACAGAGGAGTGGCATTTCGCCGACAACTGTAAACAGGCTTGTCTGTTTGAGCAACTGGCTCAGTGCAGAGAAGTACACAGGGTTGGGAGAGAGTGTAAGAGAGAGAGAGAGGTTCCAGGTTGTTGTGTTGAAAATATTCAGGAGAATATTTGTCATTGTTCCAATGATAATAAACAAACATTTGCATAAAGCATATTTGTCCACTCATATGTTGATAAGAGTATTAAAAACTTCCTCTAAGGTACATTTAGAACAGATAAAAAATGTGGGATTAATTTGCGATTAATCGCGATTAACTATGGACATCATGCGATTAATCGCGATTAAATATTTTAATCGACTGACAGCCCTAATATATATATATTTGATAGACTAAACTACATCAGGTTTGTGGTAGTCACAGTCCCTTCCAAGAATCATTTCTGATTTTTACAATATTACGATACATCAGGCCCCTGATATCATACATCAATTGTTCAGTTAATTCATGTTTTCGTCCTCTTCTGCGCTTCTGTGTGTGTGTGTGTGTGTGTGTGTGTGTGTGTGTGTGTGTGTGTGTGTGTCAGACCTGTTGTAGTCCCTGGTCAGCAGCAGTGCTCTCTCCCTCAGGCCTCGGAGTTCGTCCCTGTCCTGGTAAATGTCAGACACACACTGGGGGATCTCAAACTTCAGTCGATCCCAGTAGTGGATCTCAGAGAACAGGAGTAACAGGTTGCTGGACAAGAAAAGACACAGAAAAAACCAAAATGAATTAAGACGTCATGTATGTAAACATTTGATTAGCCTTAACATTAATATATATTGTGTACGAGCATGTCATAGAGTGTATTAGCATCAGTACTTAAGACACTGAATGTATATTTTAAAATGAATGACTGGTGTTGTGTGTAAGTGCTGCTTGTTTCACATACTTGTCAAAGTTGACCTCCAGCTTGGCGGTCTTGTCCTTGCAGCGCAGCAGGAGTGGCTGCTCCAGTCTCTTGAGGTACTGTGTATCCAGGTTCTGGCTCCAAGCGCTGAAGTGCTTCTTCATCCTCTCGTCAAAAACCTGAACCATCTGGGCATTGGTTAAAACGACATGCTTGCGGCTGTTTGACTCAGGCATGAAGTGGGCCTTCTGAAGCACCTGGAGGGGAACAAAAGAGGACAAATGAGAAGAAAAATCAAGGAAGAAGCTCCAGAAGGAGAGATTAATACCGTCTGTTAATAGAGAGCATATGGTTCAAATTCAACCAAAGCAGAGTCAGAGTTCTAACTAAACATCTTACTTTGCATCCTGCTTATGGTGGTGGAAAGTAACGGTTGAGTACAAGTAGAAAAGGGAATAGAGTAGCGTATAGTCTAATGAACTCACCTCCATGGGCATCTCTAAGCGTTGCTTGAGGGCCCTCACCCAGTGGGCCTCGCCTGCCATCCGGGCCATGTGGTCAGGATAAGACCTCGTCCTCTGGTTCAGCTCCTTGTTGGCCATTTTGAGCTCTTTGTGAAAGATGCTGTACACTTGCTCCATCTTCTCTTCTGTTGTCCGCTTAATGGCCTGGGTAGATAGGATGGAAGTGAATGAGTACACGAATTGTACAAGAGTAAGAAACCGACAATAACCCTGTATAGTTATTTTTAAAGGTTTAATTAATATAAGGTGATAGAAAGTGTTAATGTATTGATATATGTTTGGTGGTTTAAAAGTGAATTGAGTGAATGTACGTGTGTGTTTGTGAGATACACACCTCTCGAGTAGACATTGGCCTAAAAATGTCAAGAAGCCGAACTCCTTCCTCCACTGTGGTCACCGTCTTAAACACTGATTTGATCAGGTTCTGCATTAACATTTCCAGATCCTTCACCAACGCACGAAACCTGTGTGTACAAGCACACACACACGCAAAAACATATCCCCTGGTTATCAAAATTGGAAAAATGTGCACGTCTTGCCAATTTTTGTTTGTGTTAAGAGATTTGAATAAGATTTGCAGCCTATACTTTCATAAAATTAAACTTAGTCCTAGTTTAAATGTGTTAATGAGAAAAACACCTACTTTTTGAATGCATTTCCCCATGTGGAGCTCTCGACATCAAGGACGCCCTGGTCAAGAGAGTGCAGGTTCTTCAGGCTCCGGTGGAAGTTGCCCTCTATCTCCAGGAGGGAGTGGGTGAACTCTGGTCCCTGGCAACCGCTGAAGCACGGCAGGGGCCTCTGCTGACCATCCTCCCAACGGGCAAACTGATACTGGCAGTCACATACCTGCACAAAGCAAGAGAAAATGATATCCAAAAAGTCAAGACATTGTGAAATGACGGTTGATTTGAAATATAACCAAGGTCATATACCATTCATTTATGGAGAATTGATTCACAACATGGCTTGTTCAATAATAGCAGGGATAGAGGGTAGATACATATTCTCACAAAGAAAATTGGAAAGAAATGAGAAAAGCAAGTCCACAAATGCTACAGTAACCCCTATTACTGTATTTGTCTCAGATCTGTTGAAATTGCAATGACAACACATAATACAATTGGACATTTCCTATTGTGGCGTAATGTGTGTCAATGCAACCTCACTGCAATCATTCACAATACTTATACCTTTTTTTTCAACCTTAGCACTTTTCATGGCATAACATTTGCAGAAAGATACTGTAACAGAGATGTTCAATGAAGAAACATTGCTTGTAGAATTGTTATTTTTTTGCTGAAGACGTGTGTGTGTGTGTGTGGAACATTTACCTCAAGCAACTCTTTGAACCTCTGAATCGAAACATCAAACACCACAAAAATGCTGGTTTGGTCCAAGACCCATCTTTTTGGAGAATACCTGATGTAAAAGCAGAGGTAAAGTTACAATATTTGAAATCTAACACATATAAGTTGTTTGTGAAAAGAACTGTCTTGCATTCCAAAAATGTGTCTGCCTCTAACCCTAATGACAAAGCGTAGAGTCACTACAAATGTGAGATATTCTCCTACTTTTGGTGAACCTGTGAGGCATGCAGGTAAATGTCCTTCCAGGCCAGGCAGCACTGGATACAGTCTGTGAGGTTCTGCTTGCTCGATAACACATAGCCCCCAAAGAGCTTGTCCAGAGAGAGGCTATTGGAGCACAGGTGGATGATCTCATTAGTCATCTGCAACACAACAGAAGAAAAAAACGTTGTCACTTTCAGCTTCAGAAAATGTCCATCATCAGCTATGGAAAAAAGGATGTTTTTTTGTTTTACTGCTCACCCTATCAGGCAGGTTATCAATGTAGCATCAGCCACAGCAGCAGATGTATGCACTCAAACACTTACAAAATAATTAGATTGAACAGCTTGCAATTGAAGTGAAATGATCCAGCTCTTCAGGTAATGAAAACTGTGATCAGGCATTGAATTCAGTGCATTCACTCTCAGGGTGTTGTAACTGATGTGTGAACACCCAGAATGAGTGGAAGTGGTTTTCAGTAACAATGATTCTCACTAGAATAGAAACATATTTAAGTACAAGGTGATTCACAACTTGAATTCATGATTAATCTGATGCGGTAAACTGCAGGCACCTTGCGGAATAGACCAGTGATCCTCTCGCTGCTGTTGTAGTCTGTGGAGTTGACCCAGATGATGCGAATGAGACTGACAATGTGTCGCAGCTTGGGAGCAACTTGGCTAGGCTTGAGCTGGGTAAGCTCTTCAAATGGCTCCTTCAGTATGGACAGGTAGAGCAGGTTGGATTGGGCCTGCAGAGAGCATTCCTAGGCAAACACAAACACACAAAGTGAAGATGATAATATGCCAACATTTTCCAATTGTTGGTAAAGTCATGCGTTAATGTTGTAATAAATAGCAGAACCAGTGAACAAATATCTTGTTGGTCAGTGAGTAAGAGTTGATGAAGATATTCTAGATGTGTAGTACCTGTATTTCCTTGGCCAGATTGCTGAAGCGCTGTTCATACATAGAGTTGGAGAGCTTCAGTATGTTCTGGATGTGCCTGACCGCTGGCTTTTGTAGCTGCTGGCTGACGTTCAACAGCTTGGCAGAGCGACTCTTCCAGAAGGCTATCTCCTCAAGGGGGCCGCAGTTGTCCTTCATATTCGTTATTGCTTTTGCATTCAGTAGCTCCTTGATCTGATCCGTCCAGCGGACCGCAATAACTAATAACAGAGAGAAAAGGTGTAAGAAAAGGTAAATAGATGCAAGTTTTCTCCATATTTTAAATTAAATGAATGAATATATAAGAAAGAGAAGAGAAATAGTCCGGATAAGAATGACAGATGCAGCAAAGGATGGAAGGATGGGAATATGATGAAGGAAATGTTAAAATCAGAAAATTGATGTTAAGGAGAGTTGATGAGGTATTTGAGAAAGAAAGACTACTGGTGGAAAAAGAGTAGAATAGAAAAAAACAATAAACAAATTAGACTGATGTGAGTGAGAGGCTGTGAGCCCAGTACAGCATTAAATACAATCTCAAGAGTTGGAAAGTCAATGTTGTTTTGAACAAAAACAGGTGTGACCTCCTAGATACAGACTCCACAGAGATGGGAGAAAAAAAGAAAGGCACCCCAACCCCCCTCCCAAACACACAAGCTGTATCAGGATCTTACCCTCCATTCTATCCACCAGCTTGTTGTCTTTGCTGGCCACCTCAGGGCTGCACTGTAGGCCTTCCATTGGGATGTATAGAACTGTGTAGCCCTCATTGTGAAACACATCATCTGTAAGAAAATAAAATAGTGTAACACTGGAGCGCATGTGGCTTTGTGAACATTTCAGCATTTATGTTATCTTGTGACTTGTCATTTAATTGTCTTAACTGTCTCTCTCTCTGCTCCACTTAGGAACCCACCTGTGATGCTAGCAAGATAGCAGTGAATGGCGTTGGTATAATCATTCTTGGTGCTCCTTCCACTGAAGGAGGTGAGGGCAATTGAGGGGGCATGCAAACAGGTCATGTCATGAAGAACCTTCTGGTTGGAACCGCCTGTGCTAAACTGTATCACCGCATCAAAGGTCTCAGCTGTGATTATGGTTCCTTCCATGCGGCTAAAAGAGGACAAGGGCTGCACCACCTGAAGAGATGAAAAACACAGTAAGGTAGTTGGATTTTGGATTGAGACATTCTGTACAGGAAAAGAGATCTCTTGGACAATGGTTCATTTGAAATACAATTAACAGTATTAAAAGTGAGAAGAACATTGTGCCATACCTTTTCAGGCATGGAGTATTCCACATGCAGCTTGTCATGCTCGCCCATATAGACCACCATGGTTGTGAGAGATGTGTCCACAATAAATGGATCCAATGCCAGCTCATTTTCCTCTGTCCAAGACTCTCTGGTTATACCAGAAGAAGCCACACATTGGATAAACAACTGTGAAAGGAGATTAAAGGAGGGGTACAGGGAGAAAAAGATAGAGAGAAAAATTATGTAAAAGGTTGTAATTTAGATGGACAATATCTGTGTTTATCCCACAGAAGTAGAACAAAAAATATTCCAACCAATAACCAGCTTTACCGGACGAATGGTTTTAAAGTATTCGTCATCCATTTCTTTCCAAGCTTTCTCCACCTGTTATCACAAGGAGCACACAACTGAAATGCAGTGACATAACGATACATTTTTCCAAGTTTCGTGACTTTTTTCCAGAGGTGGAAGAAGAATTACTTAATTATTGCACTTGAGTAAAAGTAGAAGTACCAGAGTGTAGGAATATTCTCGAAAAAGTAAAAGTCCTGCTATCAAAATGTTACTCAAGAAAAAGTACAAAAGTATTGGCAACTCAAAGCTAAAAGTACTCATGCAGATTGGCCCATTTCAGAAAAAATATATATGATGTGTTTTGTATATAATTATTGATACATTTAAGTATTATCAAAGCTGGTAAAGGTGCAGCTAGTTTACATTACTTTACATGCTGCAGGGTAGCTTGTGAATTTACTCCAGGTGTAACTAAAGTCTTATTATATTTTCACATCATTAATCCAAATCTGCAAAGTAACTAAAGGTATTAAATAAATGTAGTGGAGTAACAGTACACGACATACCTCTGAATTGTTTAATCTACTTAGTTACTTTGTTTACACCACTGCCTTTTTCACAATAACTATTTCAGTCAACATTGTTTATTTTCATATTCGTAGTTGGCTGTAGAAATGTATTTATCATTTTTGGGTGTTGTAGATTGGTGTAACAAACGTTAGCTAGCAAACTTTTAGCAACTAGTTAGCTTAACGGCAGTTTACCTTAATGACCTCTCCGCTAACAGGCACAGCCGTGAAGTCCTCACGAGCTGAAATACATGACAACTGCCAAAGTGCAATTATTTACTCAACAACTACAGTATCCGGCTAAATTATGTTATTAAAAGTCATTATTTACGATAGCTACGTGACTTTTCTTTTATATGTTCCGCGTTTAGCATCCCCTCAGTCAAACCTTTAGTTTGAGTATGCATGTCTCCATGGTAACGTTAGGTTGTCTGGGTAACGCCGGAGTGGGGTTGGGCATTACACGAGCATGCTCACGACTCACGAGACATGCTGAGTTTAGGGTGAAGGTGGAGTTGGAGGGGGCATATTTCCTGCTGGATTAGTTTGTTGTAGGTCTGTGGTCCGGCATGGTGTCTTCCAGTTCCAAGCATTCTCAAGTTAAACTTTTTCAAAAATAATAATAGCTGTCCTGGGTCGCCATCTGGTGGCAGAACGACTGAAGTGCTGCAGGGATAAAGAAGTGTGGAAATTACAACGTTGACACGAGGTGCACAGATAAAAGTTATAGAAACATTACATTACATGTTACTTGTTAGATGCTTTTATCCAAAGCGACTTGCATACTCAATACTGTGGGCAATCCCCACAGGAGCAATTTGGGGTGAAGTGTCTTGCCCAGGGACACAATGGCATGCCGACTGCAGTGGGGTTTGAACCTGTGCTCCCCTGATCCGAAGACATACGCGCTAGTCCACATGTTGAAGGCATGACGATTCACTGATATGCATCTCTGTACTGTCATATCACCTTTCTAAATAATTCCAGTGCTCATTTTCCTCCTCTTATGTTTGCATCTAATAAAACATACACGTTTGGCATCAGGGGCGGACTGGGACTACAAATCAGCCCGGGACTCTCGACCGGCCCACTTCGGTACCGCCGGCCCACCTCGGTAAATGATCAACGGGGGGGGGGGGGGGGGGGGGGGGGGCAGTGCTAGTGAGTTATCCGAGCGGCCCACCTCGGTGCCGCAAGTAAATACCGCGAGGAAATTGTCGACGGGGGGGGGGGGGGTGTGCTAGTGACTTATCCGAGCGGCCCACATCGTCCGACCGGCCCACTTCAGTACCGGTCCATCGGGATTCGTCCCGAACGTCCCGATGGCCAGTCCGCCCCTGTTTGGCATCCATAATAGAACAGCAGAAGTTAGTGCTTCTTAATGTGGCTTCTACAATGAGCCTATGAATAGTGAAGGTAATAATCATTAATCCCCATGAAATGACTGGCAAAGACAAAGTATGACTTGCCCCAATTCCATATATTATGTAACCCAACTAGATCCCAGGTTTGAATCATTATGTTTAGGAAGTTAATGAGAGCTAATTGTCACTAAAATGAATCACAAGTAGTTTTTTGAAGATGTCTATGGTCTTGTAAAATTGTAAAAAAACACAGTTGTCTTGTGCCCGGAAACACAATTCATATTCTCCTATTAGACAGGAAAGTGAATGATTGCACATCTTAAAGTTTATATTACCGGTGTACTATGCATAAAGAAAAACACCTCCTAAATCTGATAATTTTGTTACAACCCTACCTGAGACTAAACCACTTTGAATTTGAATCCAGCATATTTCACATATATAGCGTAATACAAACAAACACACCCACACACACAGAGACTTGGGTCTGATAAAGAGGCTCTTAAACCCTGAGGAAGTTTGTGTTTGGTCTTTTATGAGAAAAATACTTACGTCTGAATATAACCTAGAGCACAGCTCCTTTCCTGTCCTCTTTTCAGGTTTGGGGATTTGCATATTAACATACAAATATTATTTACATCACCTTGATTAACTGCATTGTTTCTGTGTGTGTTTTGTTACTGTAAGAACGTTTATGTGTGTCTGAGTGTTAAATCAACAGGATAGGATAGGTACACAGCCTGGACTAAGGTCCGCATGCATGTTGAATGCAAACACATACAACAATGTATGGATAAGAGGAATACAAGCACCATGTACACAAATGCTTATACCATATAATTACAGACTGAACACACAGACACACACATACAGCAGAGCTTTGTGAAGAAACCAGATACAAAATGGTCAGAGACACAGAAACAGGCAGGCCAAAATTAAAGCCATGAGTCTGTGAGCTCAGAACTAATGACAGGCTGCCATGCCAAGGAGGGGAGGAGAAGAGAGGGATGGAGGGAGAGTCTGTGAGGGGCTGCTGTTGCTGCTTGGACCAGATGAGAGGAGGCTGGAGATATACAGCATCACTTAGTAAAATGAGAAAAGGGAGGAGGGTTTGATGAGAGCCACAAATACAAATACATCTTAAAAAGATACAGAGTAACAGAGAGTTCTGTACTTTATAAGTGGTCGGGAGAATAGAATACAGAAGCTCAGCTGGAGGCAGCGGCCCTATTAGCTGCTCAATATTGCAATAAAAGAGAATAGACACACACACACACACACACACGCACACACCCACACACTTTTCCAGCCCCTTGACCCAGGCTGACAGCACCCTGTGTTTTCTGCCCACTGTAGTGAGAGCTCTGGTCATAATGAAGTGTTCGGAAAGAATTACGGCTAGAATACTGCCAGAGCCCCATCACAGTGTGTGTGCATGTGTGTGTGAGTGTGTACTGTCAAGATGCATTTTAAATGGGGGCATACCACAGAAAAACGTTTGTTATTAAAGTAAGCATAAACATTCAGGTAGAGAAATGTGATTACAAAAAGGAATGATTTAATAAAGCTGTAACTTCTCATGTTTTGCTGCCACTTTAAAACACATTGTTTCCTAATACTTGTGTTCCTGATTCAGCATTGGCTTTTGTTGTCTTGTGTTATAGAAGACTGCTCATTTTCCAAAGAGCAGCTGTCTCAATATTATTGATCCAAGCTGCACTTCTTCAGTGTAGTCTGCCAACTTTATGAATAGACAAAGGGAAGTAAAGCAATGGCTTCACAAGAGGAGGTGAGAATTACTCATAACTTAATTGAAACCCAAAACCATTATAAGCCTTAACATAACTGGGTTGAAATGATAATGTCAGATGAGTGTGTGTGTTTCTGTAGTGAGGGTATGGCCCCTCGAGCAATGCTGAAACACAGGCGTCATAGCAGTAAAAAGTCTCCTTCAAACTGGATGCATCACCACTGAGCTTTTCATCCTTCAGTTCCACCAGGGACACACAGACACAATGTTCATCTGTTATGTCTTCGACAGCATGTGGCAAATAAGGGAAGTGTAAACATATTGTGGGTTTACACTCACCTGATTACACAAATATATGTTTGCAACTTGATATTGGCCACAAGTCAATTTAGTAGAAAAAAGTAGAAAGTATAAACCTGTGTAACGCACCAGGTTAAAAACCTCTGCAGGTGGATGTGGTTGACGTTAAATCATTTTTTAACATCAACCACATCCACCTGTTTTTGGATAATTTCACCCATTTGCTGTGACATTTGCATTGATGTTAATTTCTACTTTGTTCTGGTAGAAATGTATTGGACAGTATAACGAAAGGTCAAGTACATAACTAATTGACATGAGGGACTTAGTGATATGGCTTTAAACCATTATGACAGTATTAAAAAAAGTGTCATCATCTGGCGGTTGTAAATAAGAAATAGCATTTTTTCTGCTCAACCACCAGAATTAGAGATTAAATCTTCTGAGCGGGTGTTTGGATATAAAGTGAAGGGACATGAGCGCCTTTGTCCATTCCTGTAAGTGATTCAATGAAAGAAGAAATGACTAAGTGTTCCTGTCAGTGTTCATCAGGTTGCCATTGTGTCTATATTTCGCAGGCTTTAATAATCTGACAGTCCACTTGGTGGTGCTGACACTCTTCGACCATGACGATATTCAGTTATTGTGCAGCCGCAGTGCGTTTCACCAGGAAAAATATTTTTACGTCAGTGGACTGTATGCATTTGGACAAAATAGATGCTTGTAAATGTAAGCAGTGTACATTTACATATAGCAACTAGGTATTTTATACTGTGGTATAGTTTAAAGGTTCAGGTCACAAACTATTCTGTCGGCTGGTTTATTATCTCATAAATGTACAAGAAACGTTATGCAGACACATTAAGTTGTGGCAGAAATATAAGTGTGTCAGTGTGTGTGTTATAGTGTCTTACTTGAAGAAGGGCTGGATTACAGCCGCTACACGGAAGCAGTCATTGATGTATATGTTAGAGGACATTTGTCCCAGTCATCTGTCACATGACCTCAATAGTTGACCCCAGCAATGACCTCAGCAGTCCCAGGGAATCTCCTCCAGGTACAGATTCTACACTCTCAGTCACCTAGAGGGCATCAAGAGGAAGATCTTAACAGACTGACTTTGAAATGCACGATACAGATCAAGGCGCAAGGAAAAAATCTCTGCTGCACAAATTAGACGGGAACAGTCAGGGATATAAAAGAGAGGAAGACATTGTAACAATTGGATTTAGTCTCATACATTTCAACATTTTGTCATCATCCATTAGTCTAACTGGCCCTCACTCTGACAGGGTATGAAATGGCCTTTGTGCTTGAGATAAGACTATATTGTGTTTTATTGCAGATTACTGACAAAGAGAGCATCAGCCACGCATACATTCCAATCAATCATCACGGCCATAACGGCTACCACATCATAGTCATTGCCGCTCAATCGTTGAGCAGTTCCACCGTCTTCACTGCGTTGATGGCATATCATCTGACTGCAGATATGCCGATAACTGTCATCGTTCCCTTCAGAATCAGAAGAGGCTCTGACGTCAACGTCCGATAGACAGTGTTCCAGAGGTAGAAACATGTCCATGCAGAGCTATGTTAAGCTCCATATTGACATTTTTTTATTCATATGTGTTTGTATTGGATTTATGGAGCTCAAAGACAATACAAATACATGTATGCCAATAGTCTGTGGACCCTTGAAGCTTTTTTTTTTGTTGCTGATCCACCTGCTTGTCCAACTCAGTGTCCAGGAGACAGAGATGGGACAGCTCCTGGTGCTGAAATGAGATCTAATATTCACATAGCAGATGAAGAGCAGATTGAAAATACAGACAGGAAACATGGGCAGTAAGATAGAGGCATGACATGACACAAAGTTCACAACACAGCTTTGATAAGGTAAGTGTCTGAACCGCTGAGCCACCAAGCCGATATTCTTGCACCTTTTCCAGTTACACAACATTGTCAGGAAGTGCTGGCTTTGACATCATCCAAGCTTAATGAGTCACTTAATTAATCAATCAAGTGCATAATGTACAGTCAATGATAGAGTGTTAAGGGCTAATCAGACCCACGTACATGCCTTGCCGTGTTTCATAAATAGTGACATTTTCTTTCAAGCTAAGCAATTGGAATTGGAATCAAATAAATAAGGGACGAACTGTCTCTTTGCTGAATAAGCCCTTGCAGACATAAAGGAACAAGTGAGAAATGAAGGAGTAGGAATGGGTAGTTAATGGTTTCAATGGGATGTGCAAATGTAGGTGAAATTGTTTGCATTAGCAGGTTTTATTGAACATTTTAGTAAGAATCATTCCTCTGTTACAAATCACAGACATCTTGTGTTCCATTTGTACCCAGGGTGTTAGGACTGTTTTGCATCTAAAGCAAAGAAGAAGGAGGACATGGAAGGGTGCAAATGAATCAAAGAAAAGACAATAAAAATCGACTTCCCCAAACAAACAAATTACTTGATGTATAACAGTGACATTTCCCTAGTTGCAGAGAAGCGCGTCTGAAAGGCAACAAACCATAGAAGCTGACAGTCAGGCCTCCACTGGTATAATAAATAGCTGCAAATCATGCTGATGAGCATGAGGGAGCAGGGAGACAGTGGGTCGATACGGGGAGTGAAAGAATCATCTGAATAAACCAAATCAATCAAATATTCAGAAAGTATTTTGTGCACCTTGTCAAGCGCAAATGACACTGGAGCAGAACAAGAAAGCCTTGTGGGAGAAAACACCCACCACTGCTAAGCAACAGAACAAACCAGAGACAGGAGAGCAGGCTGGACGTCACATCAAAGATGGTGTCGTACTGTTCTCCACTCACTCCTCTATTATCCCTGTCCCTGGTCCAAAGAGAGAGAGAGAATGGCTCATACCAGGGGCCTCAGCTGCAGCAGGGCCCCTGTGGGGTCCACCGCGGGACCCAGGACACGGATCAGAGGAGTCCTGCTGGGGGTAGGACAGAGAGAGTGGAGTCAGCAAAGATGGACAAATAAAAGAGAATGGATCAGCCGACAAGATGTAACTCACTTCACACCTGATAGTAACCCTGTGGTGGGCTTTGTACAATGCAGCGTCACAATCAAACACAATTAGACAAGCATTTGCTCTCAAGTTAAAATGACAACACCATTGTCTCTGCAGGCCATTTTAGCCATCAAATAGGCTGGACTAGTGGGTGGGCTCAGTGAGACAGGCAGAGGGCAGAGAGGAATGGGCAGCCACATGGAGAGAGAAGAAGATGACAGAGGAAGAGATAGAGATGGATGGGATAACAGCTGACACTCACTTTTTTAGCTGTCGGAGCAGCAGAGAGCGATAACAATAAACGATGAAGCGGTGACGCGGAAGGAGATGCCGTACCGATGCTCTCAACATCTTATGCACCTTAATACAGATAATTATCCCATTCATCTAGGAGGAGGAGCAATGGTGAGGAAGAGTACAGATCAGTGATTCAGGGGAAACATTCAGGGATAAGGTGATGTGAAGCAAGAGAGGGCAGGTGAGATATGAATGAGGCAGAGAATACATCATGATGGGAGGGTATTTAGAGAGGGAAACATGTAAGAAAGTATGGCTTATTTGAGGTTTTTATAAAGAAAACTTTATCAAAGTCGCAAATCATGAATCATGACATAATTAACTGAGCTAAATAAACACTAGATTCTAAGCTGAGGGGGAAATAAATCTTGGCAGCAGCGGAAAAACCTCCTGTGATCATATTAATATTGAGCTCAACTTTGTCAAATCTAATTCCCACTGATGAAATGAAGCAAGTGAAGTGAGTGACAGATATCCACAAACCCACACACTCCCTTGCTCTCTTCTCTCCTCAGTGATCAGCCATGAATAGATCCTCGGCTGTCAGAAAAAGCAGAGGAGTATTCAACATCACCGAGGTATAATACGTACACGCTGGCAGGGGGACTGTTGTGTTAATCAAATACAAAAAGCATACAGCTGTTCTCAATTGTCAAGCGCAAACCTTGAAACTTGAAAAGCAGGAAAGGCAGACACTCTCATACACCTGCCCTCACACATGACTTTCTGTTTATTGTTGCTGGTGGGTAGAACATCATTCTTTGCAGCAGCAAAAAAAAAAACGTCATACAAACCTGGTGGTAAAGGAAAAGTTTTTAGAGGGTTCTGTTTGAGGAACAATTCCAGCTTATTGTTAATCTTAACTGTTTTATAAGCATGAAGTAATCCCAGCTATCCTACCTGATGCAGTTAATCAGTAAGCATACGGCTTGTCCATTCAAGAGGCCCTGTTATGCTTTTGTCCCGTTCCTGTGCTGTGTTATATACCTTTTTGTAAATGGTCTGCAAAGGCTACAATCCCAAAGTTCCTGCTAGAGGGAGTTTCTCCATGCCTGAACACCTCGATTGGACTCCTTCGTTTACTTTCGTAACAAAGTGACATCACTGTGTGCCAAACACATTGTTTGCGATGTCGTAGGGACATTTCTAAGCGGTTGACCAATCAAATTAGAGCCGGTCAGCTAACCAATCAGAGCAGACTGGGTGGGGGCCAAAATAAAGACCTTTTTGAACATTAAAGCTTGTAAACAGTAGAGGCACAAAATACAATTATGAAACCTGAATATTAGCATCAAAGAGCCCCTTTAAGAAATGGCAAGGATAGTAAGTTACGGGAAAAGTAACATTCTTATGGGACTCACTTTGGAAAAAAACATACTGTAAGCATAACTTTTATACAGTTCTACATTTCAATTCACAGTGGAAAGCCTTTAGGGCATCATTTGTTCCAAGCCTTTGAAAATAAAATGTTTGTCCTGTTGAATTATCTCAAATCAAAAAGGATAAAAACAAGATGTTTGTGCGAGTTCTGTGTTTTCTTACAAGTCATCCTTAGAGGAAGAAGCTGGACTCATACATGTGGAGTTGGCACGCATCTGGAAGCTGAACAGCAGCTTTTGGACCTAAAACAATCCACGGCACGTGCACCTGTGAAGAATAGCACACACAAAAAGTGTTACTCACAGTGAAGCGAAAGAGAGATGTATTCTATGAAACGATAAGGAGTCGTAACATGGATCTGTGTGGATTACACGTTAAACACTATTAGACAAAACATTTTTTTTTACATGAATAACTGTTTGATTTTATATCTCCAAGCCATCGAGAACGATTTACATAAAAAAGGACTCTTTGGTTAAACTGCTCGCAACCCATTGCCATACAGTATGTGATAAGTAATGACGGATCTGAATGATCTGTTATTGTAAAGGCATATTATCTTGTGTTTTAAGATCAAAACATGCACGTTTATCTCCACAGTTCTGTGGTTATATCTTATTGTATTTCATAACTTTTATTTTCTCCCTACAGAGTCTATACTTTTATGTAAAATGTCCACTTTTTTTTAACATAATGCATGCAAACATGAGGCTGCACTTTGTTAAAGTGGACCTATCATGCTATATTTTAATAATATAGAGTAGGACCATACCTATATAAGGCATATTTATACTTTTTTTTTTTCAAAATACCAAACAGATCATGCATTTTAGCCATGCCTCATTTCGCTCAATTTGCACTTTTTTAGCTCTGTTTTTGCAAGGGCTGATTCTGTGAGAACAGCACCATCTACAGGCCTGGCATATGTACTACAGCGTCTCCAGCGCTTTGGAACGGCAATGGCCGTGGCTGTCTCCTCCTGATTGGTGGAGTTGGCCCAATAGCCGTAGCGCCACTGTCCTGACGTCAGGACAGTGTTGAAATCTGGATCAGTTTTTATCAGATCCGTTGCAGCCCCTTTTTTAGAGATTTGGGAATGGAGGAAAATAGAGAGGGTTGTGTTTTCTGACACTTGGTGAGTTCCCTGGAACACCGGGGACACATATTCATGTATAAAAGACGTACAAAAGTGCATTTTGCATGATAGGTCCCCTTTAAGTTACATTTTTAACAAAAAAAAGTTCTATGGCTAATATTACTGCATAATTTGTATTTGTATTACTTTTTTCCTGTCATTTCAAAAGATCTCAGCAAGCCCAAACCTACAGCTCAATCAAACAATGTCATTGTGCGATAAACTAAATACAAACTAAATAGTATCCAGGGTTTAGGCAAAAAGTAATATTACTGATTCTGATACGCTGATACTACTGTGTCCTGTAGTCCTCCATAGTGTGTACTTTGGTTTGTTCAGTAGTACTGCCTAAGGTCTAATCATGGTGCTCTATGTACATGCAAGTTCATAGTGGCAGTGCCAAAGCTGGTCCTGTAATGTTAAGAAGAAGCTGACGTAGAACAAAGTCAGAGGTAAAGTTTGATCCCAGCAGAGAGCTTAGGAGAGGTTGAGTGAGGGGGAAAGGAAGAAAGGTAGAGAGGCAGGGAAAGGGAACAAAAGGGAGGCCGCTAATAGTTTGGAGGACTGAGGAATAAAACATTTATAGGGTAAAATAAGGTTCCCTTAGTCCATCCGTCAGCATGCTGCAGTGGAAATGAGTCTTTGCCCCAGCCTGCTCTCCACCTCCACACTGCACTTCTGCTTCACCAGCCGTTCAGAAGAGAATCACTCTTCTGTACAGCTGTTCAGAAGAGTGATTCTCTTCTGAATATGTGCCCTTTATTCTACAGTCAATATTTCCTACTTGTTTTATGTAAGTCTTTGTAACAATTTACAAGGAAAGTGCTGTTTTATTCTCTATTTCAAAGACTTTGAGGAATGTATAGTGAAGTGTACCATTCTTTATCGGTTTAGCATGTGAGTCTGAATTTGTCACAGCATGTTCATTTGTATCTTAGAAATGCTTCAAATGTTTACTGATCCTCCCTCAGCTCTTTGTCTCTGTCCTTGGCTTTTGGAACTACTTTTCCACTGACCTCAGCACTCCTTTTCATCTTCAATCAGTCCCCTTTCCCCACCTTTGACTTTCTTTCATCCCTCTTCCTTCCCCCATATTGCCTCCTGCCATGGCTCCTTGCCATCCCTCGCCCTCTCTCCTCCTTCACTTATTTAGCTTGTATTCCCTACTGCTTGCTCACCCCTCACTTGCTCACCCCTTTACCCCTTCATCTTTTCCTTGGTTTCCTCAAAGAAAAAGCCAATGGGATTGTTCCATTGGATTTGTGTAATGTACAAAGCTATGCAGGAAACCCTATATATATCATGAGAAGAAAAAAAAGTAATACATCCATAATCTAAATTCAATACATATTACATCATTCTTTTATTGTTAAAGAGTTAAAGTATTTATAAACTAACATGCTGACATTTTTTATTTAACTAACCATAAATGTTGCAGACAAGGATTGGACATTATGCCCCCTAGTCTCTTCGTTTTTCTTATTAAAATTAAATTTATTTCATGTCAGATACTAACTTATTTTGCAAATTTTTTATTTAAAATGTCTTCTACTTACCCTCCACTTATTTTTCTTGCTGGTCTATAACAACAAATTCTTGCAGCTTTCCATTTCTTATTCCTTTAACTGTCTCTTGTTCTACTCGTCTTCTTTACCACATTTTCTAAACTGATCCTTTCCCTATCCCTTCACTCAAATGTACAGTATACTCCTTCCATCCTCACACCTCGCCTCTCTGGTAGCAAGTTGATCTTCACTTTGGTGTAAATGTAATTTCCAAGCTGCCGCGACACCTCAGCGTGAGCCAGTCTACTGCCAGCTCTGTACAAAGCCATAAAATGTCAAATATATGTCAAGCGAAAAAAAGCGTATTACTACTATGTTTGCTTTATTTTAAAAAGAAAAGTCAAGTATATTGTGTTTCCAATAATCAATGCTGACGTGAAGCACAGCAGGGTTTGCCTCTGTGGAGTTTGTTCATCCTAATAATCATGTTTTTAAAAATTGAATTTTAAAATACTAGTCTTAGCCCCATAAGGGGGTATATGGATGAACAAAGAGGCAGAAAGTGGTATTGATTATTGTCAGGTCAAAAGGAACAGACGACTCAGCTATTAGATAAATACGGCACTCTGAAACGCTGCAGTCTCAATCTATATCTGCCACCACTCAATTGTCCCTAAATGTCACGCTGTGGCTACATTGTGAGCTGGCCGCTGAATGAAGAGCGGGCAATGAAGCAGAGCATTGACCTAGAGAGAGGGAGAGACAGAATGAAAGGTCAAGAGAGACCAAGAGACCGTCTGAATGGCGCATGCTGGGAAGAAATTGGCCAGAGAAAAGACAGTAAGGAGAGGAGAGGTTGTGTGGAGATGAAGGACATTGTGACGACAGGACGATTAGAAGAACGATGACCTAAAGATCAGAATGGAAGAATGGCCTACTCTCTGACTTTGTCCTATCACACTCTTCTTTTGATAGTGCATACACCTTTGCAGCGTCAAAAGACACAATTACCACCTAAAGAAGTTCACAGTACGTTGGAGTCACTTTGTTGACACAATGAAACAGAGACAACAGCTAAATGTGTATTTTTCCACAGTGTGTAAAGCATCAAAACCCAAATCCATGTTTTAACTATCATTTTAATAATACATTTTAATAAGAATAATTGTATTGTTTATAATTTGAGGCTACATTTACTAATGTTTGTTTTCCTGATAAAAAATGGTGTTTTTTTGTAAATGTTTGTTACCTGATTAGCCATAGCATTAAAAACAATTTTACATTTTGACAGGGTATTTCAATGTTTTATTTTGGCAGCCTGATGACTTTTCCTTACATTTGGTTCAAAAGGTCTGCCTTTAAAGTGTAAAATAAAGAATCTTTAATGCATTAGGACATGTATCGATTCGATTTCATGCATCTTTAAATTGCTCTATAAGATTATTGCTGAAATAAACTGCTCCATTTTAATTCAGACTTAACAAGAAGACATGAAAAGGCTTTACAGACCATACACACACGCATATGAAAAGTTTTAAATGTAGAAATACTTTAGAGGAAAAGGGAGAGCAGAAGTCACAGTCGTTTTTAGAAAACAGGAAGGATATAGCTCCTGAAAACATTCTTTGTAGCTTTCTCTGGCTTTCCACTCCTGATGGCTTTATCTGACATCCAGTCAAAGTAAATACCTTCAAATATCACCAGCCGTCGTCAAATGTGACCATAATGCACTTTACTGCCATGCTTCAGTTGATAACAGCTAAAGACAGTCTGGTTTCCATTATAAATGTCTGTACATGGGCTCAGGTTCATGTCTGGCAACATTACTTTCCTTAACCTGCTAATGTTGGAGGCTAAACTGCTTCACAGAGAGAAAGCATGGTGAAAAAAGAACATGGGAGGTAACCAGTGGAAGAGGCTACATTGGATATAGCCTGGAATGGTAAGCGGAGGTGGGGTGGTGCCCCTCTGATCCAACAGATTGAAGCTTTCTGGAAAAACACTCAACTACTCCAAGTTTTTTTTCTATGTGTTGCTCCCCACTGGCTCACACTGGGAATAAAACTGCTATGGGTTGTTAAATACCAAATGGAGCAAATAAAATGCGAAGCCACTTTTAAAGGTAGTAACAAATGCATAGGGAGTCAAAGGAACTATTCCACCAGAGGCAAACAGGCGTAGAGGTGCCCTACAGGGGACACCATTTGAGTTCTCATGAAAAAGAGGGAAAGTGCGGCTTCGGTTTGACTGCAATGTAACACAAAGCACACACTGTCCCTAAGAAAGGGATTTGTACAAATAGATTGTAGTCCATGTCCTCATCTTAAAACAACCCTGCATTTCCTATGGGGGAAACTTAAAGGGGACCTATCATGCAAAATGCACTTGTTGATGTCTTTTATACATAAATATGTGTCCCCGGTGTGTCGGGGAACTCACGCAGCGTCAGAAAATAAAACCTTTTCTCTTTTCCTCCGTACCCAAATCTTTAAAAAAAAACAGGGGTACAACGAGCGGATACAGATTTGCTGCCGATATGACGTCAAATCGGCGGCGGACCCACAGAAATTAGCTATCAGAAACAATGCCTGACGTGTTTTGGACGTAATCTCGTCTTTGTTTACATTAGCAAGCCTCGCTAACACTCAGAGCTAACCTGTACTGGATAGCACATGTGTTTAAAAAGCAGGAAATAAAAAAAGGAACTCACCTTGCATGAGCTCCATACTGTTTCAGAAATAATCCTTGATGTGGTTTAGAACAGGATGGCGTTTTATCACAGCAGAATTTAACTTTATCTCCGGTACAATTCTGATCAGGCATTAGCTCCGCCTCCTCTTTTTTAATTTTTTTAAAGCTAAGGACCCAAAATCCGCGTTTCTCCAACAGGGCTGCAAAAGAGGGGTATGAGCAGTATGAGGCATGGCTACAATGGGTGATCTGTTTGGGATTTTAAGCAAAAAACTTCACAGACATGTTTTGTATAGGTATGGCCCTACAATATATTTTTCCAATATAGCATAATAGGTCCACTTTAAATGTCCATGATATTGCTCCCTAAAATGAAATTGTCATCAGTATAGACAGAACATTTGAGATGGATTTGCTTTATTAGCCAATTGGGTAAGCAAAGACTTACTGCTTTCATCTCTACTGCAGGGCTGGTTCTTGCTGACATCCTGAAAAAGATAAAAATATAATGCATACACGATGTAGATCTAAAAAAAGAAAAGATAGCTCTGAGGACAGAATATTAGAGCATATTTGAAGGACACATTAAGTTGTGCTGCTGTATCTCTGTTTGCTCATCTGATAACTGTTTGAGTCATTTTGTTGGCAACACATGCAGGAAGACCAGAGTCCCTCACAGTTGACGCTCTGTTTGCTTTGTTTTAAAGTGTCTTTGCTTAAGTCTGCTCACTGGACTGCAGCTAATGTCAGTCAATAGTCCTTTAATGACAACCTTACTGTACTGACTGGTGACCCAGTAGAGGATGTGTTGGAGGGCATGCCCTGATGCTGCAGCCCATCACCACCATCACCTCAGACAGGAGCCTGATCCCTGGGGAACACCTTGGCTTTAATGCACCTGAGGAGAGGTGTGTGGATGTGTGTGTTTTCTACAGTATATCCTTTGAAAACATACAATTCTAGCTTATCATCTTGACACAAAATCCAACATATAATGTCATTGCAAGCGATTATTAACATTTGAATGATGTTTACACCACTTGTGATATATTTCAAGGACAAACAGACCAGGTCAAGTTCAAATATGTTCTCTGTTTCATTTTAAACAAGTATTGGTTTCATTTTGTTCTACTCTTAGGAATGTTTCCTTATTTAGTGACCTTGCTCTCCAAATCACCATACTGCTTTGTGTCGTTTGCCTTCTATCTGAATATTAAAATGTAGCTTAGTGAGTTTTCACCTGTACGCCAGTAAACTTTATTATGCTTTACAGCACTTGAGAAACATGTTTTTCACATAGCGCATCTCTTCTTTTGTAAGCATCTAAATAAAAAAACAACCTACGGTGATATTATTGTGAAAGGGTGACTTTGAATGTCTTTATAGGAAACTTTCAGCTGCTGTAATCCTCTTCGATAAGTGAATAAATAAATATATATTGTCAAATGAAAATAAGTTTGGTTTCAACCCACAGGCAAGGGTAAGGACATTTCAAAACTCAAAAGCATAGGTGTCAAACACAGTTGTGTACAGAGGAAGTGATGAAGAGTATCTGGAGGGCTTCTGTCTTTCATAAACTGACAGATATGTTTCTGAATGAAAATTGGTACTTGGACAGATTTCATATTAGCAACAATATTCCAAAGCTCAACTCATATCCTCAACTTTTGAACCTTTCCATTTATCAACACATTTCTCGGGTGAAGAGGAGTTCAATGAAAGCGGTCCCAATCTCAGCCAATCATTCAGATGACATTTTTGCTTCTCCTCCAACTGAGATAATAGCCTTATTAATAATCATAATCATAATTTGGCCATGCTATGCTAATGCGGAAGGCAAGAAATAAACCAGTTTGAAGATACTACAAATGATTCTTTAGGTTAGATGTAGATAGAGTAGTTCCTGTTTCTCTGTGACTGTATGCCATGTTCATTTTATTCAGACTCTCTATAGGCAATAGGAAAGGACAGAAAGTAGATGCATTGGATGGCCACAGGGTATATTTCTTGTTGAGTCAGATTTTATTTTATACATCTTTGATCTGGAAAATAAAAGACTAGACACCTAACACATTCTATTGGCCTTTACATTTTGGCTAGACAGCCGCTTGGCCACTGCAGGGAAATCCATGTTCCATCCATGATTTGATCAGTAAATCTTCTGAATGTTAGTGTATGAATGCTATTTAGTATGATTTGACAATGACTTATAGATTAGGCCTGCCCCTTGCTTACAAAAGGACATGTTACAAATTTGACCTTATTAAAGCCCTATTTGAAAAGTTAGAGGAACACTAGTTTTTTTTAATGTGTCCTGCAGAGAACAAGAAAGTCAATACATCTATCTTGTAGTTATTGTAATATTTCCCTCAAAACTGCAAATGTCATCATAACTGTGGTGCTGGAAGAGAAGTCAACGGGCACCGAAGTCAAAAGGATTCAACGCCTGGTGATCATGGATATCAAAACAGAAAATGTCTCTGCAACCCCCAGAACAGTTGTTGAGATATTTGAGCTTGGAAAAAGTTGGACATTCAGAATATTCTTACCTGTGATCCCTTTTTTATGAGCAGCACATGATAAGTTCTTTCTACAATGCAATGACATATTTCTGTATAACCTTGTGATATTGTGTAAAAAGCATAGTCTCTCCAAATGTGCCGTAAATGTCATGGGGTTATTTTAATATTCACTGTGTGTTTAAAAAAGTAGGACAACCATTTGTGGCAGAAGAACAAATTCAATTTGAGTCGTGACACCAACGTATTTCACGTTATAGGTAGCATGTCGAGAATGTGAATATGCTATCCAAGGCTTACCTTCTGCTGTAGGATGATGGACAAGTATTGGTCACACTCTCTCTGGATCTCCACCACATGCTTTTCTTCTCTACAGACATGGCCTCCACCTTCTCCTGTCTGACCCTGATCTTAAAGAGGCAGCAGCACAGCTCCATCACCTGCTCTCCCACATCAGTGCATTTCTCTGGAAGGACACTCTCTCTATAAACACCCACACACACAATCATATGAGTGACAGTGGCTGTTACAGAGACAGGTGTTTCAGTAATTGAATAGAGGGACGGAGAGATTTATTTACACATGATTTCTAGACAGGTGGTATTTGAAAAGGGATTGAAGAGAGAACTCAAACAATATGGGCCACAGGGAAAGAGACTTTGAGAAGATATTTCTGTGAGTCTGTCTAACAATACTTACATGTTGATATACAGTAGTTATTGGTTGCTGTAATTACTCCTCCTGGCCATGGGGATCAATTCCTAGCATTACATAAATGAAGGAGGAAACCAGTGACAATGTGCTCTTCGTCAAAATAATGAACTTGAAATCAAAATAAATAAATGACTCTTGCAAAATACTGATAATAAAATGGAATTCAGCCAGTCACTATCAAACTTAATTTACTTTTCACTTAACTAAAGACAGATTATTTATTGTCCTCAGGTAGAGGGAATTTGTTCCCACAGCCTGAACGCACGTAAGAACAATTAAAGAACATTCATCACACAAACATTGCCACAAGGAACACAATGCTGTCAGCTTATTAAATTATGATTAACCATTATGGGAACAAAACAATAAAAGTCTTACCATCATTACAAGAAGCAAAATCAAGCATTGTGGGAAAGTGCTGCCAAACCTTAACTTGAAATGAGGTCTGAGAGAGAGGCGAAAGCAATTAAAGTCAGGTCAGGTTTAATGGGCCCAGAAATAAAAAGGGTCCTGATGAGGAGAGCTGAACAAAAGTCTCTGTTCCTGCTCAGCTATATTCAGGTTACTGCCTTCTTCCTCTCCTCTCTTTCTCTAATGGCTAGCCTTGAGCTCTGGTGGACCAGATGTATAAAGCTGTTAAAGTCCTCGTCAGAGAGAGGAGGATGAGGCTCTAGTCATACTGAGTTAAGAAACATCAGTCACTAAAACCTAAGAACACCAGGAAGACATCATTTTGGGTCTCTCACAGAACCAGTCTGGTGTAGGGGGCAATTACTTGGTATACAAGGAGGCAGTTCCTGTTAGCAAAACACACACATTCAAATGAGGACAACATTTAAAAGACTAGCTCAGTCATTTTCTACGCCTCTGCCTCTGTATGAATGTGTGACTGCTATTTGTATATGTAAAAGCGCTTTGAGGAGTTGTAAAGACTGGATAAAGTGCTACAGTATATCAATGCAGTCCATTAACCATTAACCAGTGTGTCAAGTAGTACAGTAATGAGATGAGCATCAACTCAAGGATGTTTTTAAAAGAGTAAGATTGGATAGGCTTTAAATAATACTTTGTTCTTAAAATGGTTATTTGCATGATGTATTAATATTGATTTCTGTTGTTAATCTTGGTTCAAATTGACCTCACTTCATCAAGGCTTCTCTCAGTTTTTTCTTTTCTTTTTTGAAACAGATGAAAACAATTTCTTTAAGTATTCAAGGTGCCGCATGGTAAGTTTTTGATATAAAAAGGATAATTCTGGGGGTGTTGTATTCCTTTAAGCAGCATGACCCAATTCAAAGGCACTACCTACAAATCTGTGAAGCAGGGGGAGTGAGTCAGTGAGTTAGCTGGTTAATTGGAGCAGCAGGACCCCCTGAGATCTGCTGATGTGATATGGATCCTGCTAGCAGCGAGTGGTCAGGGGGCCAGGACGCCTCGTCACCCGGAGAACAGTGATTAGCTCTGGGTAATGGTGCCTGCCAGCCCAATTAGCAGCATTATGTGTGACCGGTTCCCTGTGCCACTAATTACAAGCGGGCCCTGAAAGTGGGTGAGCGAATCAGAAAAAGACAGAGTGAAAGAGGTGTTCTGTGAGAGAGACTGTGTGTGCGTGCAGACAGCTGACCCTCTCTGCCACGGCATCCGCCCTCTCATTTCCAATTACAGTGAGCCCCAGGTCTTCGCTGCAGCATCGCCCAGCTTACTAGACCTCATTTGCTCGACACCTAGCGTCAAACAGCCATTAACACACTGATTCATGGTGGACACGACCCACTGTCCTCAATGTAATATTGAGCAGCTGAGAGGAGCTGTACAGCTGCATAATTACATGTATCTGAGGGACTGAAAACCACAAGTGTACTTCAATTGATTCTTTTTGATACATCATTTAAAGGGTATTAGCTTTACAAAAGTCCCGATGAACAAAAAGCACACAAAAGCAAAATCACTAAAATAGTAACACAAAACAGTAGCTCTAATTTGTCGCTAATAACAATAAGTAGTATTTTAAGGTAAATTCCACAGAAAATACTACTTTGCATGAAAACGTATTTCTCTAAAGTTAACATAAATGATGCCAGAATGCTGTGGTGTGTGGCACTGGTTTATGCTATGTACTTGCCCTTATACAAAACATTCAAAAAATACATAAAAATGATATAGATATACCATCTGCCACTACTAACATTAGCAGCCCGTTCCTGCAGACAAAAAGACCAACCATTGTTTTGGTTTATTCACATTTGAATAGATTTTTTCTACTAATCAGCAGACCTTGGGATTTATTGTTGACTGCAGGAACTAAGGGACAACATTACAATGACACATTGCCTCAATATACATTAATACATTCAAATTAACTTGGATTTAACTTTGATTCAAATTGATTATTTATTTAAAAAGATCAGTATTTGTTTTCCAGTTTCTGCTGGATGCTGGATTGATCAGGATGTTGCACTTTACAATTAAAGCCCACTTCATCACAACATGGCCATGTAACGTGAGTTTTCTGAAAGAGAGAAAAGACTGCTGAGAGGTGTTTGAGTTTGTGCTTTTGTGTGCTGCTTTTTTCACCCTCGTGTACTGGCGAAGCGGGTAAGTTGTTTTCGTGTGAGTTTTAATAGAATATAAAAGTACAGCACAATGCATCAGAAATATAAAACCTTGTTGTTAAGGAAACAATTCACATAGAGGTGCTAGCGGGGAGCTGAAGTGCCATTAAGAGCAGGGGCTCTTCAGCCTAGAAGCACAGAAACATGATTCACACTGTGCTCCTTTTCATAAACCTGTGTGTGGACCGCTTTGAAGTTGGTGTATGGCACGGTGAGTACCTAGCAAAACACATTAGCAGATGAAATGTTCTGCTCTAATTATGGTTGTACAGACAGGGCTATTCATCTGTGTTAATGTACTCATTGAGGACTGCAGGTCAGGACAGTGTGAAACAAGAGAGAACAGGATACTCAACGGGATGAGAAGATAAGAGACGAGAAGAGGAGGAAAAAGGGTGCAGGAAAGTTTTGTGTACCAGACACTTCTGTTTTTTTACATTTTATTTCCATCAGTTCATTAATAATTTAAAACTATAATTGGAAATAATGGAAATGTCGTCTGTATTAATATTTTATTCCACACTCGTTGTGTAAGTTGTTCCGGGAGGAATTGATGAAGTTTGTGAGAGGCTTTTGCATCATGATCCTTATGCTAGATGCCTAACAGTTTTAGTATCAGATGTCACTTATACAATACATCTACAGCATTACAGTTGGGCTACATTTCACTTTGTGCAGAGGACTTTAATAACTACCTTTCAACATTGTAAATCACAACTTTAAAGCACCATATGACATTTGGGCAGCCAACAGCCTCAGCTGTGTATAACACTAAGCTGTAAAACAGTTTGTCTATGATATGTAGCTCCCCGTGTCAGGATGAGTCACACCTGTTGTTTTAAGCACTTAGAACGCTCCCTGCTTTTAATTTAAGGCCTTTTCCGGAAACAGAGTGAGAGCCAGAAAACCCACATAAAAAATAAAGTTATAGTTTTTACACATTTCTACAAAATAAAGTGATTTCTTTTTGCATGATTTATGGTAACTCCGATTCTGACATGGTGTTTGCCTAGATAGAAATGGTTTTATAAGCCTCGTGTAGTTTACAGCACGGTCTTGCAGTGTAGCAGAAAATGCAAAGCTGCTGATAAACAAACCTTTTAATGACCACAGAATTACTACCTTGGTGTTTAAAGGAGCCAAATTCTTAATTAAGATATTGTGTCCCAAGTAGTTCGATGCTACTTAAACCAAATTGCTCTACTGCTCTGATTTAAGTCACTTTTCAAAATCCAACTTATTCGGTATTTTGTAATTCCACAGTTGAATAGAACTGTTTGAACATGAGAATAAGACAAAAGCTGCTTCTTGATGTCTGTAGGTAATGGTTGGAAACACACCTTGTGTAATTAGGGTAAGAGCATATTGTATGATGGTAGAGGTTATTCATCAAAATCATAATTTAAGACATTGAGTCAGGAACCAAACCGTTTTTTTCATCAAGTCATTAACTACAAATCGTGTCAATTTTCTATTGGGCAGCTTTAATGGATTGGAGAAAAAAAATCTATTTGTGGGTTTGGACAGCCTGCACCTTAGAGCATCTGGTTCATCTGAGTCATATTCTTCCCGTTTCTTATACTGAATTGTCTTTTAGCGAACTGGTCACGTCAATAGTAGAAAAGTCATATGAGGTACAGTCGTTTCAAGAGTTTAAAAAAGTCCATACACATGCTGCTGTACAGAAAGAGTATGCTCCGTCAACCACAACTGGATAAATACAATTGGAAGGAAAACAGGTAGCTTGATTATTGCTAACAGATGAATGAATACAAATTACCTCTGCTTTCACATTCCAAATGTCACTTTGTTGTTATTGAAGTCTGGAACAAAGATGAAGAAGGAAGGGAGCTAATTTTAGCAGTGCACCAGATATAAGATGACAGCAAATAACTGTGACAAATGGCGTCTGTGTAAAGTGTTCCATTTAGTGGAGATCAGCACCATAAGGGCGGAAGTCTGAGACGATTAATATTTAATGTTCAGACAGTCCCTGCAATATAATTCACTGCACAAACGTACTTCTTTTACTCAATCTGAGGGACAACAATCTCTATACTTCTGCTATTTTACGATGGTTATAAATCCACTCTCTTTTTGGATAACGTTTGAGTGGAGCGATGGTCTGAAAAATACTTATGGAAGCTTTATGAGGCCATGTTTCGATCTAATCTTTTTCATTTCCGTCTTTTGTTCCAGTTTTTACTTGTTTTAATTTCTTGGAGGTTAGGGTGATATCCTGAGTAAAAGACATCAGATATAGACATGTTCAAGAGTGTGTGTGTGTGTGTGTGATCTCACCTTGTCTGCACTATATATGGCTTCCTGTACTTCCTGTTGACTTCAGTAAATAAAGGTGGCACTTTAAGGCAAGTTTTGTCCAACGACTGTGGAAAACACACAGATAAATACACAATTACACACAGGCGGAACAAGCATGCTGGTAATCATTTGAGAAAAAAACCAAACAGGTGCACACTGATTCATTCTCAGGAATATTATCAAAGAGAGGCATATCAGCAGGTGCCTGTCATGCTGTGATTGGAAAGTGACTATTTAAAGAGCAGAAAATACTACTGGAACTTATTCACAGCCTTGAGCATGGGCAACGGAATAAACAAAGTGCGTCTCTTGGAAAGACAGCACAATTAAAAAACAGATTTTACTTCTATTATAGGAGTTAGATTATTGTGCATGTGATACATTCTGCCAGATTGAAATCAGACTGTTTTGATTCACTGTCAAATTGGTTAATTTATTCTACTTTGTATTGTCCCCCACCATTCATTCTTTGTCTACAAGAAGGACTCAGATTTCTTCAACAAACCCACAATTCCAACTGCCACGTAACAGACTAAATGTACGACAACATAAATGTACCATATACAAAAGCAGAAGAGTGTTGCTCCATGTTGTTTTCTGCAGTAATGGAGTGCTATTGATTTGCAGTGGCGTGGGGTAAAGTGTCAGATTGACAGCAGTGTGTGGAGAGCAGAGCCTGCTGCTGAGAGGCCTTCTCTCTCCACTGCAGGGTAGCTTTTAGCTGCGCCTCATGCTGCGCTCTTTCAAAAGGAGCTTCAAACTAGGCCTGAATCATAAATCTGACAAACAGTGAACACAGCAAAGACACATCAGAGAACAGCACATGAGGACCTCTTCAATTGATCGTGGTAATGTACGGGATTGACTGCACAGAATGGGATGGAGGGAATTGACTGTGTGTGTTGATGCATCAGGGGAATTCTTCTGGGGACTCGAAGGAGCAGCAGGCTCATGGGCACCCCCCGGGAGTCAGGTGGTAGCCTGGGTGTACAGTATAGCAAACTGGATACAGCATTGGAGGCGCTGCCCTGTTTATTCCTATGAAATTTGCTCAGTGGCATATGAAGCCAAAAAGATATCCTGACTTCTTGTACGTTGTATCATCCAGGGACTTGAGCCCATTGACGGGTGCGCTTGCATTTTCATTAAAGTCCGCCTCCAATCCACTCTGTCATGGCCGTACTCTGCTCAGTCAAATATAATAAATGGAAAATGTGGCTTTTCTACAACTCTTAGGCCCGAATGAATTCAAGAAAAGGAAATCAAGTGTTTGTACTGTGACGTGAATTTACCTAAAAATATCATTATTTGCTAATTCACGGACTTCTCTTTCCTAATGTAAGTACATTTTTTGGCCCCAATGACGACATGGACAGACATGGAAGTGAAGTACCACCATTTAGCCACTACAACAATGTGCTTCAACACCTGGCTCACCTCCTGGGGGTTTGGATTTAAGTCCCACAGCTGGGTTTCCATGCACTTCTTGAGGAACTTCACATCTAGTAGGTACACGCCAGACTCAGCCAGGATCACCTGACAAACACACACATGCACGCACACAGAAACAACATCAATATCTCATCATTCATCACTGTCATCATCATTCTGTCCGATTACTTTTGATCGATTCTTCAAGCCACTATTAAACCACAGTCCACCCTGTAATCCATCATTTAATCTGTCTGAAGAGTAATAAATGTGCCAGATGCTGGCAGTTGTTTGTTGGCCTCAATGTCACTGTGAGTCAAAGACGACGCTGAAATCAAAAACAACACAGATAGAAAAATTGGTGATTGTTGCAAAAGCGGTGCATACAGTTTTAACATGAAATACAATCAAGAGCAGAATTCAACTTGGGCAATCTAATACAGATTAGAATGAAATGATCCTCTCCGTTGCAACACTGTTTCTGATTTAGAGTGATTAAGTGGATTTATGTATCATATCTTTAGCAGCAAGTGTCTCATTTTAAAAAACACAACAATCATTAATATGCTGAGATAAAAATGCCAAAGAGGCATATATTAACTACCCACCTCAAGACAAACAACAAATCAAAATGAAACTTTATAACTAATCAAAGACAAACAGTAAACAAATGACAATCAAAAAAAGGAGAGAAAATTGGCAGTATCCATGAAGCAACTTCAGAAATTACAATTATTTGTATATGATTAAACAAGATAAACATAGCCACAATGTGTCTGGTTTCAGAGCAGCAAGGCATATGGTTGAATAAAGTAGAGTGTTTGAGACTTTAATAAACTACAATAACACACTTCAACCAGGAAAACATCAATATTCCTGCCTGAAAAACAGTCTGACATTTACAGAAAATGTATAATCATCTGTCTAGTGATGACACAAGAAGCTTTTCTCAGACACATTTCGCCTCTGCGAGAATAACATGAAATGCTGTGTGTGTGCAGCAAAAAAAGTGAACACACAGATTGGCCAAAAACATCCTGAAACCTAATTGGTAGGCCATGAATACAAAAAGAAAAGCCGATGAGCATTGGCTAATACTATGTTCTGCCTCTTTATAACCATTGATTTGACCATGGCAATGTAAGCTATAATTATGTGAACAATTGTAATAACTTTGCAATGGATTTCATTCCATTAGATTTAGTTGCTACATTTTCCATAGAAATGTCAGCCCACAACTGATAGTATTCTCTACATATGGATCAATATTATGGGTGAGGATCAGCGTATATTGGGCAGTAATCCAGATTGAGCTATTTGTTGTAAAGGTATAACAATATGAGTAATCTATGATTATGCTTTAGGGTGGATAATACTTAGGAGATTACATAGAAAGATAAATAGGAGCGGTGCTCACACTCTATTGATGTTCAAATATCCAGCTGATAATATCACAAGTCTGGAGGGACCAGCTAGCAGAAAGAGAAGAACTTGATCATATACGCACAAAACAAACAAAAAGGTTGACAAAAAATAAAAGATATATTTGCATTAATCTTCATTCAAATGTTTTTAATAACTAAATAGCTTATTGAAATCAATTAGATCTTTTGGACATGTGTTATCTTTTACCAAAATAACCTAAGTACTGTATAACACAGGCTGGCTACAGAATATAGTAGAGTGCAGTACCGTGTTAATGTATATCCTACATACTACAGATACCCATGTTATGTTGAGATAAGATAAGATGACCCTTTATTAATCTCCAAGGAGAAATCCACTCCACTCTGTTATTGTATTCACATTACAATACAATACACACATGCATACGACCTATATACAGTTTAGATAGGTATGCCTAAACACATGCATCTTTATAGAGAGGTGAGGACACCTCAAACTGGAACCTTTTCAGCTTCCAGTTTATTTTTGGTGTGACCGGGACTTGAACCGGCAACCCTTCAGTTCCCTACACACTGAGCTACTGCTGCCCCAACCAAGACGAGAACTAATGACTTACAGGACCCAATAAAGACACAGGTCCTTGTATTCTTCTAAAAGGGACCATAGTTACCAAAATGAACATCGTGCTGTTTTGAACAGGAATTACAGTATGATTGGTTCTGCCTGATCTGGGGCTCCTGCATAAAAGGAGAACACTGGCCTATTCAAGTTCTGTTCATCTTGTAAATTACATGGATTTGATGTCATATTAGTAAAAAGGGCATACATCAATGAAAGATGAGGGAGAGTAACAAAGTCATTTCATGTTGTCCACTTCACCTACTCAAGAGGCAGGGCAATAATGATTTCCTGAATGCTATATGGCTTGAAAAAAGCAAGTGTATCTAGTTTTCTTTTGTGACCGTCGATGAGAAGAGTAGAGAGAGGAAGAAGCTGGGGACAAGTGGCCGAGGTAAGAAGGAGCAGGAAAGGTTGAAAGGAGCACAGCAACAGAGATGAAAGAGTGGCAGAACATTGAAAAGACTGAAAAGAGACAAGAGGTGAGCTGGAGTGAGCAATGAGTGGTGAGAGCAGGGGAAGTATATATATTTAAAAAAAGCCATATGAAACAAGAAAAAAACAAAGAAACAAAGAGAGGTTGAGGAGGTAAAAATGAGATGGGGGAAACATTTGCAGGCAGCCTTTCAGTCAACCATAATCTCCTGGGTGTTGGATGTGAGAGAGAGAGAGAGAGAGAGAGCGCAATTTTGCAGTGGTTATCATTATCATCACAGCTATAATCATAATCAGGGTAATTCCAGTATGGGGAGATGGAAAGGCGGATGGCAAAGGGTGATGGAGGAGAATAAAATGTCAGATAGGAGGAACAAGGACATTACGGGGTGTAACCATGGTGAAAAGCGCACACGGGGAAACAGTAGGTGGATGAGAGTGAAATAAGGACAGAGGGAGCAGGAAACAGAGAGATTGCTAAATGAGACCGAGGCGTTTTTCATTAAATCAGATCACAATTACCAGGTTTACAAAGCCTGTGTAATGTTAGTTTTTAGGGCGCCGCAATGTGATGGCAACTTAATGAAAGAATAATATAATAAGGATGTTTGTTAGGCTACAGCAGAGAACGAGGTCAGAAACCCACTCATATATGACCCTGTGGAAACCACCCTGTTATTACCCAAATTAAAAAACAGAGTTTTTCTTCGGTTTCGATACGCCTTTTTCTACTATCACTACTACTACTATTGACATGGAAAGACAAATACTTGACATATTTCACAAATAAAAAACACACGAAACTGAGACAAACTCTGAAAATGTTTGACTGTTTCATAACAAAGAAACCACATGGAAAAAGTATCTAACTTATCAAAGGGTACTGGAGAATATTCAAGGCCCTGAATAATTATGCGGTTTAATACTCAGTATTATCCCACAGGACATAACACTGCTACTCCTGAGCTTGCACTATTATTATTGTTATAATCATTGTTTTGTATGTGTTTGGGGAACCTGTGACCCTAGTTTTTAATTGCACACCAACACTGTAGCCGTGTATATGATATTAAAACCTTTGTACCTTGAGATATTCTTTAAGTATGACTATAGTAAAAAAGTGCATATGGGTAAATAGGAAAAGTGTATTTAGTGACACAATGGGCCTTTCTCATTTCTCTAATTCACCTCCTCGACTCCTATCCTCGTGTCTTAGTCCCGCCCATAGGAGATGGGAAGTCCGGGGGGGACCTCCATGGGACCTTATTTCGGAAAAAGTATGTATTGAAGTCAATGGAGAGAGAAAGATTATCTTTCAATCCTGTTTGAATTGTGCCACGAATTACACATATGATGTTTGTCAATTTAAAAGATAATTTTACAAGTCAAAAAAATAAAAATGTGTCGTAAAACTGTGAAGTAACACTTTTTTTTGTGTGAAACCGCTCAATGACCTACATCTCCCGTCTCGCACCACACACCAAGACGGCCGTCACGTTGGCACATTTCACTTCTTTCTTTCAGAATGAGGCGAAAAGTATTAAAAGAGGTGAAAATCAGTGTGGGCATGTTGAGAGCTGTACATACACACAAGGGGAGTTAGTCGGTTCCGTAAGAGCCAGCATGCGGGACCGGGATTCTAGGATTTGTAGTCTTTCTAGTTGCATATTTTTCCTAGTCTTATATTTCAACAGTTTTACGACAAACTGTGACTTTTTTGACATGGAAATTATTATTTAAGATTGACAAACATCATATGTGTAATTCGTGGCACAATTCAAACGGGATCGAAAGATAATCTTTCTCTCTCCATTGACTTTAATACAAACTTTTTCCAAAATAAGGTCCCATGAGTCCCACCGGAAAAGGAGGGACTTCGCCTCTCTATTAGATGTCCTTCAACATGGCGCGCTCAGAAAATGGGTTAGGATTAGGGTTAGGGGAGATACAGAAATGTGAAATTGTAGGTCTAATTGTCATATCACACACGTCTTTGCAAGGAAATTATCAAACAAGGTTCCTATACACAATATGTCCTGCACACACAAACAAAACAAAAAAGCAATTACTTATTTAATGTATGGGTAGGATGCGAAGGAGGCAGGAATGCAATGATATCAAACCTACACACCGACGTGTCTTGCCTCCAACCCAAAAGGCTCTCTCTTAACAAACTTAAAGGAGCGTTTCACAACAGAACTCTAGTCCATTGGTGTCTGGGAGCCAGAGCGGTCACATGCAGCTGTGTTATGTGCTGTTTACACGAGAACGCAAACGGTTGTATCCGCTACTTTTCTCTTGCTTTTGGTGTATTTTGTGGCGAAAGTACAGCGCCACTTACAGGCCCGGCATATGTACTACAGCGTCTCCAGCGCTTTCGAGCGGTCTCGTGTGAGCGGAAGACTTTTTTGATATCGTATTCGGTTTGTTTGCGTTTCGTATGCGTTTGCGTGTAAATGGGGTCTTAAGGTCATCAAGGTGTTTCCACCTGCAGAACAAACACACTTTTGCTTTTCTATTTGGTTCCCTCTACTCCGGCCTGGATATTATTAGTGGTTGTATTGACAGTGGTAGATATACAAAGAGAAAGACAAAGAGATTCAGAGAAAAAACCTGACAGTTCTAGTTTTGCTCCTCATGTAACC